ATATAATCTTTTGGAGCGTGAAATGACGCTCTGGGGGCGCGCGTCGGCATTTAACGCTATGAGTTATTGGGCCTTCTTGAATTTGTATTGGGCCTATTTAGAATATAGGGGCCGAAATGGACTTAGTAAAGGCCCATGGAATCCATCTTGATCCTTCTATTTAGAATGTTTGGGCTGTTTATTCATGGACGGCACTCTTCAAATTCTCATGGGCCTGTTTAGAAATTTGGCCTTTGACCTTTCTGATCACCAACTCGAACTCAAGAGAAGGCACCGAGATCCCGGGTAAACGTCGTTTTGGAGCTTTCCTGATGAACAGTTTGTCTCCCGCTCATTCGTCGGTATCGACGACCGCCGTCGCTGGAGGCGGCGGAAGCAGTGGCGCCGCCGCCGGTTTGGAAGAATTCCATTTTCCGCCTGACATCGCTTCTATTCAGGAGCGCAAGGACGAAGCCATGCGCGGTCTCTCTCCTTTTCCCTCTCTTTTCTTGAGCTTTTGCGATTTTAGGGTTTCTCAATGGTTTAAGGATTCCGATTCCTCGCGATCATTGCATAATCGGGATCAGGTGTTTTGAAGTAGCGTATTGTTTGATTCGACAACCGCTGTCTGGATTCTAGGTTTTAGGTTTATTTCTCTGGCTGTTTTATTGAGATGGGAGTGAACACTGCGCTTCTTATTCAGTGATTGAATGTTATCGTTGTGGTTTATGGCATAGTATGAGTTGATACCTAAGAAATTCATTTTGGATCGAGGTAATCGTGGTGTCTTGGTGATGATTCTCCTGTTATTAGCTCCTTTACTGGAATCTACTGGGATCGCTTACTTCTGATCACTGCATGTATGTGCTCGCCTGAGAATATTTTCCATCTTTTTCGATTAACGTAACGATTCTTCTGCTGTCGTGATGCAGTATTGAAGGCCGATTTAATGGCTGAACTAGACAGGCAGGTTAAGTCTTTGGACGATGACAACTGGATATTCGAAGGTCCTCGTTCACGTATCAATCTTATATCCAGAAGAGGTTAGTACCCTGATATTTTGCTCCGACTCCTTTCTTGTAATGTTGGTTTATGCCGCAGAACACGGTTCTCCTCACTGTCAAACATGGTTCATGTACTTGGTCGTTAAATGGTATCTATTGTGCTTGACGATTTCGGCTCTGGTGAAACTAGATCTTTGACTTGAGTATTAAGCTTCGGCATCTATTACGAATTGTTGAGTGTGGAGCCATGTTGTTAAGAGAGGATCAAGAATAGGATTGGGCTGGATTCAAGACTTTTTCTTGTTTGCTGAATGGTTCACTCTAGGATTACTTGATGTTTGGTAATATATTCTGTGGTGATGGTAATTGGATGATGATGATGATGATGTGATCACGAATATTATGGCATAGTACAGCTCTTCTGAGATATTTTTTAAAAAGGACAATATGTGTCTAAAATGAGCGTGACCGTGACGAGGCTTCGCTTTGTGAGTTCTCACTTTTTCAGAAGCATATTTCTACCCGAACTGTCATCTACTTATTATTACTCGTGAATTGTTATGGTGTTCGAATCAGGTGGGTATCTGCATAAACAAGATGAGGCTGCAAAGAACACAGGATTGGCTCAGCTACCTAAATGACCACTTTTGATTCTCATGGCATCTCTTCATGTAATTCCACAACTCAGTTCTATACGCCACGATTGTCAAGAAGAGCAAGCATTTATCTGCCAACAATTCTCAGGGCATCATCGGCAATGGCCACCGGAAAACCGAAACCCTCTGTGCCCTGAACACCATCCGGCCAGACCAAGACGACGACAGTCCTTTTTCTTCATCCTCGCTTGAGAAAGTTTAGTCCTTTTTTCCTTTTTCCCGTCTGCGAAAGCTACAAAAACACATTATACAGGGCTTGTTAGGGAAACCGAAACAGCTAATGATGGCCTTGATTTCCAGTCGCCAATAAACGTAACTCAGATTGATTTCTTTCGGACGTCGAGGAAGCGAGATCAAAGATTCTGACGAGACACAAACACAGACTCTCTCACCTTTGATTTTTTTACCAAGCCTTGACGAACATTTTCATCAGAATCTTATGCAACTTTCCAACAAGAGGGGAATGGTTCGTCATGAAAAGGCGTCTGAAATCATGCTTCAGAGTGGATTGAAGTGCCAGGGGCAGCAGTGTTTTTACCTCAAAACACCCAAGGATCATGGCTCTTGCCTGAATGACAACATAAAATAAAATAAAGCTCTGTTACAAAACAATTAGACCCAATCAGAAGTCCAATGAGGAGGAATGCTGTAAATTTAGGGTTTGACTGAAAACTCGAAAAACAGACTCCATAGAGGGCACCAGTTACCTCGGTAGGTCTTTGATCTCAGGCAAGAGAAGACCCATCTGTTCGGTCAGCTTGTCCATACGTTTGGCTCTGTCCCATCCATTTTGCTTCTTCTCGGTCTTGCTCGTGCATTGGAGGTTGATATTTCACTAACTGTCCATCAGGAGAAGCCGAATTCTAGCCTCCGCTTCCATTGGATCCTGTACATGTTGCAGATGGATACAAACAGTGTATCAGATTGGTTCTTGTAACAAATGAGATGGATGAACGCAGACTCTCTCACCTTTGATTTTAACATGCCTTGATGGGAATTTTCATCAGAATCTTATGCAGTTTCCCAAAAACAGCGGGTAAAAAAGCATCTGAACTTCCAGGGGACATTGTTCTTACCTCAATACATCATTTGCTGCTGCCTCTGCTCCATGCCCTCGAACCGCTGTGTCGTTTTTTGAAGTTGGTCGTGATGTCTATTTCCGACCGAAGAGCCATGAGTTTCTGAAGCTTTCTGAGACGGGGCCCGTTTTGATTGCGTTTTTTGATGGGGAAAAAACGAGAGAATGTCCTGAATCAATCATATAGACAAGAGTTCCCATCTCCAAAAAATAAAAATGAAAATAACATAACTAATAAATCACTGTTTTTTTCTCCTTTCAAAGTACTCTGCCCTATCCATACACTCTCTCCTAATTCACCATTCATCTGCAGAAGCTTTTGCCCTCTCATGTATCTTCCAAGACGAAGTTGTCGATCAGATCTCCTCTGTTTCTTATTCGTTAGATAATAAACATATCGGATATACGCCACGAGAGATACGATGATTCATCCGCCTGCTTCTGAAATTTAACCTGCAATTCTCGGCGAAACCTGACGTCGTTCCTCCCTTGAAATGCTGCCAGATAACCATTCTGAGAAGCAAGAACACAAGATCTTTACAAGCTACAAGGACAAGTTCCTTGAAGTAGTTGATGTAATGAAGAAGAACATGTCTCTTTTAAAAAGAATAGTGTTGATGTAAATTGTAATGCACAACAAATTAGCTCAAGCATATACGTAGATAGAAATTTTACGGGATAATCCTAGATACATGATCCAAGGCTGAAACATTTTAAGGCAAAGCTGTGTACCTGAGTGTGTTCTGACTGTTTTATGTTTTGTAGCCAAGCATCAAATGGCGGTAGTAACGCCCACGGATGATTCTATGCCACCGATATTTGAATGAGCTCCGATAACTCAGTTTCATCTTCTCTTGGACAAGCCTGTCATGAAAAACTCTCACCGGTCTGAGGTTTTCAAAAAGAATATTTCAAGAGTAGACAGATACTCGCTTGCCCGGCAAAGGAAAAAAAAGTTTGCTCACCATCTCACAAGACACCTCTGAATGCCTTTGGATATAGGACGGAAAAAGGATGGATCTCTCTGACCATATAATATCCCGACCTGGAAACAAAATCAAGAACAGGTAGGTCATGAACTTCTCTCATTAAGTTGCTGTCAACATGGGGGTCTCTAGAAGCAAGTATCATTCATGACGGGAATTTGGAATCCACTTTTTGAGTTCTCTAACAGATTTGTAATCGAGATGTATGCTAAGAATGGTAATCAGACAATGTAAATTCAAGATCTGCAGTTTACCTCCACCAATGCCATTGCAGAAGGATCTTCAAAGATCTCAAGACTATAGTCTGCAAGATAATTTACCTATAAAATCATCAATGTAAATATGTTATAAAAAACCGAGAAAAAATTCTCCGAGGAATACGAGGGTTTTAGAAGAGTGACCAAACGGGATACCCCGAATTCGGTATTGACAAGAGCTTGGACAAAATCCACCAGTTGAATTTTAGCCCATTCCAAGCATAAAGTAGAATCCTCAGTACGTGGGGGATGCCTCCACGGAGCACCAAAGCGTAATTTTTCTTCAGGAATTCTTCCTTTCCGCGCGTCAGCATCATATCTTTGAAGCAGCAATAAGGCTTTGTCCATGGCAGGATCAACCACAGCAACCTACACAAGAAAACAGGCGCAGATGCAGATATTTTAAAAAAAAAAAATCAAAGGGCAGTTCAAGTGTATCAAATGTAATAATAGCAACTGCAATGCTAGTCAGCGACGGTTTGCTTACTTGTAAATATGCTAAATACGCGTCCACAATATCTTCGAATGTGCCCGCCTTCTCCCCCATCAAACTAATGAAACACAAAGGCATAGAATACCGTGAAATGCTTTAAGTTGTTCTGTTCATATTACTGGATTGAATGTAAGGAGAAACTTCTTTTGCCATTCCTTTCAGTTCTTGAGGATGATGAAACCAAGAAAGGCCAAAAGAGAAAGAATGGAATGCTGCAGAATGGAAGAAAGAGAGAATAAACAGGAACATATAACTTTACCTTTGGTAATAATTACTTTGCTTGAGGGCATAAAGCTCAAACAGATGCCGAGCACTGGCCCCAAGAACATCAGCAATCACAGTCCACTGCAATTTAGAAGTTTCGAACTATATGTTAGAACTCTCCACAAATTATATGTACCAACCACTTAAGCCATATCCCATCTTGTTTAATAGGTTCACAAGATCATTCAACCTTTCAGTTTGTTTTATTAGTTGGCTTCACTAAAATAACCGGACACTAGTTACCTACAGCACTTTCTCACCTCTGAAGCACTGAAGTAATCGGGAACCATGTGCAATTTGGCTTCTTGAGGAGTCCATCCAAATGTCTACAAACCAAACAAGCCAAAACCCAAAAGCGAGATACAGAATTAAAATACAAAGAACACTTAAAAGTATCAAACAAGGTAGCATAGCCTCTTGGATCAGATGAGACTACGTTCGAACAAAGCACAAGTTGATTATCATCAGCTCTACATTCTCTATTGCTATATGTGAGAGTAAATACACAAAGATGGCATAGTTTAGTAAGAGACAGATGTCTAGCTTCTACCTCTCGAGAGATGAAAATGTCTGGAAACCCGAAGTCGACAAAGGCTTGATATGAATAGTAGCTGTTATATAACACATGTCAGTTCATTCTAAAGTCAGTATAGATAGTAAATTTTCCAAAACCAAGGACATAAAATGACGTTCAGGTTCAGAAAGAACTAAATTGGCATCTCAGAAATTTAAATGCAAAGCCATGCTACAGATAAATAATTAGCGGCAAGCGATACATTCGAAACAAAAAGCGAAAACCAGAGCAGGACCAACCTATCTGAAGTCACGAATACGATGGGAAGACAGCGCTCATTCACACCTAAAGAGATTATTCTCCATACAAGGCTGTCGTGATACATTGGTGCAGAGATTGTTGAATCATCTGTCCGAATACCATTCTTTAGGACTTCGATGTTGTTTATAATCAGCTTAGGCTGCCAAAAAAGACAACCATAACTAGACCTAAGCCAACAACACATACTATAGAGAAACATAACCACCGTCGAAAATCATTTCCACATACGAAAGTCAAAATCTCCTACTGATAGGGTAAAAGCCTCAGGGTCATCTGACTATATTTATACTTATCTCTTCCATTACCTGGAAGTAACCAATCTCCGCAGCTTGTGACAACAATTCGAGCAGCAACAACGGCCAGTCAGTGCATGAATTTGCTAACGTTCTGGAAAATCCACCGGTTTGATTCATATGGGCGATGGAATTGGCTTTCCAACCATGATGCACCCCAATCACCTCCTTGGCCAATCTCAAGGCTACGCGATGGAATTGGCTTCCCAACCATGATGCACCCCAATCCCCTCCTTGGCCAATCTCAAGGCTACAACGGCCTCCCGGTAATATGAAGCCTCTTCCACGGACAAGCTCTTGTCTTTCCCTTTCAACTCGAGCAACCCATCAATCTCAGCGGCATTTTGTCGAACAGAAAGCGCATAAACCGCCCGTTCCCATAGAACGGAGATGGAGGCCTTATTGGGAACGGAAGAGTTCAATCCCTGGAGTATGCGGCGAAGTGAGGCGTTAAGACCGTGCCATTTGTTAAGGGTGGCGAAAATTTGGTGCGAGCTTATGGTCCCGAGCTTGATAGCCTTATGGCTCATAGATTCGAGACAACTCTCGAGCTGGATTTTGCAATCGGACAGCAATGGCGGGTCACAGTTAGTCCAAGACGCCCATGGAAATGACTGGTGGTGATCGGGATGGTGGTCCTTCACCGACTGTGCGAAATCGACATAGCCCGTGAGATGAGGCCCTTTGTTCCATTCTCCTATAAGACCTGAAAAAACGAGATGGTAGCTGATTAAATCTGAAATCTTTGAGAATTCGGGAAATGGGAAATTAGGGTTTATGAGTGGGTTACGATTGAGGATCAGGGTGGTTTTGCCGACGCCGCGAGGACCATGGAGAATGAGCGGCTGAGAAACACGGTGACGCTGGACATGGTTGTTGAGGATGGTCTCGAGAAGCGGCCTTGGAATTACCTTCCAAGCTTTGTTCACCATTGTCATATGCTTCTTCTTCTTCTTCTTCTTCTTCTTCTTGGGTTTAAGGATCCGACCCACTCAACGATCTTACACGCAGCAATTGGATCACTGACATTTTTTTATTTGGGAAAAAGGTGAGCAATTTATTTTAATTCCACAAAAATAACATGATGTTTTTTTTATAAAAAATTATAAATTTTTTAAAATTTATTTCTAGGGTTGGACTGATTTTGAATAAAATTATGTATTTTTTTAAAAATAATAATAAACTGTTATTTATAGATAAAATAGAAAATAAAAATAATTATTACTTTTTTTGTCATTTTCTTATAATTTCGTACCATTTAAATAATCAAATTATAATAATTCATATATCAGAGTTACACTTTATTCTAAAATAAATCTCAATAAGTTATATATTTAATCTTTTTAGTAGTTCACAAGTTGGACTTACCATATACATAATAATTTTGTATACAAATTTGATCATGTCGTGGAATATAGAGAAATATATTATTTTTTCCCCCCAATCATAAAAAGTATGACGCTGTGTATTCTTAGTTATAATATATATATATATATATATATATATAATATTTAGAATTTTTTAATATATAGTATTAAATCAATTTAAGAAAATAAATTTGATATTTAAGTCTAATATAAATATGATTAGTTTTGGGATTGTAGATGTAGATCGGGAATATATATATATTTATGTTATTCGATTAGGTTCAGTCTTCTATATATATATATACATATATATATATATATATATAGAATTAATGGGCCGAATTAATGGGCCGGATGTAAATAAAAAAAAAAACATAACCGGGAATTAGTTTGTTTTTGCTTTATGTTCTCGTCTTAACGCAACACTTCACTGAGAAAAATGGCGACGGCGACGGGAAATGCGAGGGGATTCGGAGGCGGTGATCGGACGGCGAAATCGGTCGTCTCCGATCAGACATCTCAGGCCGTGAATTCCACTGCCAACCTTCTTCATCTGATGCGTCAGTCGTCTCCGTCTCAGGTGGTTTCTTCGTTATATGTATACACCTATGCTCTACCTGTATTGATTTCTATGTCTTTGGGGTCCGATTGGAGGAATCAGGGTTAGATTCGATGTTTGCGACGAATTTCTGTACTTTTCGCAGTCGAATTTTGGAGGAAGTGGGAAGTTTTTGTAAGGATGTGTTTAGGTATCGATGAAAAGGATCGCATGTTGTTGATTGACAGAATTTCTTATAGAGCTGAATGGAATACTCCGTTTTGGCAAAAAATAATTTAGATTGATCCCCAAATTTTCAAACCTTTGATCCTATCCTGATTCTTCATGTGATATTTTCCCCTTCATGAGGTGGTTTTGGTCTGTGTTTATGGAGTAATAAGGGTTCAACTATACACAGTCAGTGATCTCCAACCAAATGAACATAAAAAAAAAAACGCCATGGATGATGGTCTTTGATCCAATTTTATCTCTTTGATTTGAGTTTGATTTTCTTTCATTGCGTTTTAGTTCCATTAGGATCTATCTTCTGGTTTTGATGCCACGAAAGGGATGTCTGTGAAATTTTAGAACATAGAACATAAACGATATCGCAAATCGTAGAGTGCATTTATATGGAGATAGATGTATACATAACTATGCGCAGAGTAATGATGAATGATGTCAATATAGTTTTGTGATATTGCATTGTTTCTTCAGATGCTTCATGCTAAAGCTCAGTTTAGGTTTCTATTTCACTGGCTGAGCATTATCCCGCTTCATTTGGATGAACTCTCAAGTCTGATATATTTGACGGGTAGTAGAATTGGGGATACAACAACAAACTGCATTTAGTAAAACTCTTGTATTCTTTAGTTTACGCGATTTTCTTCGGTGTGCTACTGTTACATAACTTATCTAATGCGAAGAGCTAACACGGCTTAAATGTGTACCATCCAAAGGCAAAGTTGGCAAAGCTCCCGAAAAATCTTTTGGCGAAAGCCTCGATGACAAAAGCAACTGGACAAGTATGTAAATTCTCTGGCATTATATATATATAACATTCTTGCAGACATTTGTTATCTGTATGTATATACTCTTTTGCAGGTGCTTGAACAGCTGCCTCAAGTGATTTCATCCCTGGATGGCCATATAGAAAGCGGGTTGCACAGGTTCATATGCTACAAATATTTCTATGCTTACTTGCATATGGCTAGAACATCTAATAGATTCAAGCATATAATATAACCCCGAGTTTTGTTTTCTGCACAGTGCTGTTCATCTAAACACCATCACACAGTTGCTCGAAAACATGCAAAGCACCCAGCTTCGCGCTCTTCGACAATCTAATCTCTTCCCTTTGTATCAAATCCCTCACTCTAATCTTTTTTTTTCACTAATTAACGAGATTCCTATTCCGATTCCAAACTCCTCGGCAATCTAATCTTCTTCTCCTACAGGTCAAGCAAATCTCCTGAGGCCAACAACTGAAAGATGGGTGTTTCTTCTTGAACCAGGCAGGTACTTATGTCCAAACCCTGAAAGAGTGAAAAACTCGTCCCGAACCCGAACCGTTTCCCGAAACGTCCACCCCTAAATTTAGGTGTCTTTCCCTTTTTCTGTTTTTTGTTTTTAATTTTGTATCAGTGATTAGAGTTGCAAACCCTTTGAATAGTAGAATTCACCCAACAGAATGTAGAGAAAGAAGATAATCAATGATTTGTTCAATGGAACTTGAGCTGTTTTTTGCAGTTCAACAGGTTGCTGCTTCTTGTTCTTCTTCTGCTTCTGATATTCTTCAGCTTCATAATCTGGTATATATATATATATATATGGATGATGTCAGCAAGATTATGTACAAAAGTGTTATGATTTATACCAAAAATTGTATATGGAATATTGAAAGTCGAAAAACTTTTTTTATATATAATGGCTGGATAATGCAGACAATACATTGTTTTAATTCTACAAAACAAGTAACAAATTTTTTCGGTAATGGTCGTCATCGTTTTTGAAAAACAATTGCTTATTTTTTTTAGAACAAAGAATATTTAAGATTTTGTTTAAAATAATGAAGTTAGATTTATGGGAAAAAGCTAGAAATATAGATTTAAGTAAATGAGTTTCTTGTCGGACTCATTACAGAACTTCATGAGCTTCTGATAGGCCTTTTAATTGTGTTATGTGGGCTTGACGTGTACTTTTTCAAGGTCTATTGATTTTGGCTATTTTGGTTGGGGAGCTCTTTTCTTTTCTTTCGGGGTTTTATTTGTTTTCGGCCCAAATAGAAAGCGCTCAAATTTTATGGGCCGAGCCCAAATATTATTTAGAGCCCATATTTATCAAAATTTTAAAGCTCGTGATTATTTTATTCATTGCCATGCTATATTCATATGTAGTGTAAAATATCATTTTTTTTTTGTTGAAGTGAATTATTATATTAACTAGGTAATAACTTCGCGCGGACTGAATATTTACGAATTTAAATAATTTTTTATATTTAAAATTAAATATAATAAATTTTGATTTAAATTTATCATTTAAATTATTCTATTAAAATATTTTTTTGTCATACTGTGAAAATAATAAGATGATAAGGATGAATCTAAATATAATAGTATGAGGTATTATATCCTATTCTATAATTAACAAAATATAATTTATTCATAAATTTTATAAAATTTGTAGATATCCGTAATATTTTTACCACTATTTTTTTTCTTTATATGTTTCTCTTATCATTTTTTATATTTTGTTGATCGTTTTTATCTTTAAGTCTTTATTTTTAATCTAGGTAATAATCTACGTGTATCGTACAGACTTGAAATCTCAAATCTCAAAATGTTTAACAATTTTCTACACCATCTCCAATGACGTAAATTTTGGTGAATTGCGATAAGTAAATATATGACAGATAATTAAAATTTACTACGTGAACATGCCACGTCAATAAATTAAAATTGAATATTTTTTCGGTTCTTATTAAATCAATTGGTTTGGTTGATTGTAATGATTTTATGATGATTTTGAGTTGTAGTATGATATGAAACACTTGACGTTTATATTTGTATTTAAGTTGTTATTATGATTGTAGCAAAAACTAAGATAAGTTGTTTGAGTTGAACTAAATATAAACAGAAAACTTTAATAATATAAAAACATTATTATATATTTTTTTTGCAAACAAAATTAAATCAATGACAGAATATTGTTATTACTACATAGATATTTTACCATTTCACTGTAACTGATTTATTATGGTTGTCTTTAGTACTGGTGTAACTTTCTTCAATGCCTGTCAAAAATTCAGTTATTAGGTAATAATAAAAATTATTTTGGTAAATATTATAAATATAGATTTTTTTCAAGAATGATATAATTTATTTACCTTAAACGGAAATTTTTGATAATGTTCAATTTTTCATCTATGTAAATCTTTGTAGATGATGTGTTGAGTGATAGAACACCTGACACATAAAATGTATTAGTAAACTCAATATAGCAATAATAATGGTTTTTAAATATTAATCTATCAAATATTTAGAAATTAATTTGTGTTAAATAATTACCGTGAATAATCTTTGGATTTACACCCGTAATAACTGCGATACTTTTTCTGACATTCAATCTATGAATTTGTGAACGGAGTTCTGCAGCGAGATCATCCCATACAGAAAGCTTGACGATATTGTTGCTGGTTTTTAAATTGAAATTATATGTTAGTTTGTATAAAACTAATTTAGTTAAAATTTTATAAAATGATATTTTTTGCAGTGTAAATAAAATTTGAAAACTTACTCTTTCAATAATAAACGAAGAATAATTTTCTGAGTTGACGACGACATTCGTAAATTTGATCCTTGTATTGCGACTAAAACTCCAATAATATCTGCAATATTAGAGAATATATTAATTATAAGATCCAATATTTTCTTTTTTGTTTTTTTATATTATCACATACCTGGTAGATCGTGTTTTTTGTTTGCCAACGCCAACAAATCATCATATAAATATATTCGAAATTTTTCTTTGGCAATATTATAAGTAGTTACAACAACTTTTTCAATAGTAGTATATTCTGTAAAATAAATAAGAAATTTACTGTTCGTTAATTTGTATATATATTTATTTGGTAGAATCTTGAAATGTCTGATTAAAAATATATCTCTCTCGTTTATTATATTTTTTAAAATTTTCTGCATGATCCTCAAATATTTTTCATTCAACAACATTTTCCTGCAACATTATAAGTAGAAAAGATTAGATTTTTAATAAACATAGTATAAGAAAATCAATATTAATTAGAACGTACATTTTCATCAATTAATAAGAATTCGATGTCATTGAACCTATTCCCATTGAAAGGATTTCGTTCATCCCATATTCGTAGAAATCTGACCATAATATATCGATAACTATGATGTATACTCATCTGATCCAATCCTACATGGGTTGATATCACTGGATGCATATGTATTTACACACAAAAATTGGTGGGATATCATATTTAAAATATAAAAAATATGATTATCAGATAAATATTATATTTTATATAAATTAATAAAAATTTAACAAAATGCAACATAAGTGATGTTTAGGTTGATCCACCAAATTGTTCTAAATAACTTATATATATAGATGTGGAGAATAATAACTGTATAACCCGTGATTCATTGTTAGTAAACTTAAATCAAAAAATAAAATTATATATATATAGATATAACAAACATGTTAAACAAAAGTCGGTAAACAAAAACAATTTTTTTTACTTCTATATATAAACATATATAATATATATTGATATAAATATAAAAAAAAATTAAATATATGTTTTGGTACCAATAAAATGTTATGTTTTCTTACATTTAACAAATTGATAACACTAACCAAATGATATATTTGGCTGATTAATCTTCATTGTTATCAAAGTAAATTCAGAAAAATACTACTAATCAAATATAAAAAACAAACAGTTTAAACAAAAAATAAGAAATAAAAACATATTCTTTTACTTTTTATAAATAAAATAAAGATATAGATTACATATTATATATGATATTAATATAAGAAAATTTTAAAAAGAATTTTGCTTGGAATTATACATTTTTTAAAATAATATAAATGTATTGCATCATCAGATCTATTTTATTTTTCTATAATATTTAGAAATATATCTTTGTATATATAAGAGTTTAAAACTAAGATAATGAAATATACTTTTACATAGAAGTTTTTTTGCATTAAATTCTTATAAATATACCTTATTTATTCTATAAGGATTCTCATAACAATATTAGATTACAAAGTTATAAAAGTATCCATCAATCTTTTTTTCATAAACATATTCACATACGTATATGTCTGAAATTTTAAGAATGGATTTAATTATAGAAAAAAATAAATAAATCCAATTTGTGCAAGTTGTTTTAAATAACAAATTTTATTTACCATTATTTGAATTCAACGTTAAGAACAAAATTGCATAGAAACAAATATAATTATACATTATATATATAAATTAAATCTGATTTAAAATAGGTGAAATATGATTTTTTAAAAAATTAAAATAATCTGATCCAAATTATATAGGAAACTAATAAAAAAAATTCTTTTAGAAAAATATTATATTCATAATAAAAAAAACCTAAACAAAAAACTATAATAATATAATATAATATAATATAATATAATATTATTGTTATTATTACGGCTGAATTAAGAGATATACCATGAGTTATAAATAGCATATGTCGGATTGCAAACCTGAACTTGTAGGAGTAGACCTTTGATTTCAAGCACTTTCCAACACCAAAATATATAATCAGTTGATAGTTGTATTGCTGATACGAACGTTTAGAGCACATAATCATCATTTATAGTTTAGAGTTTATTAATTGAACTCATTCTTTTTCAATGAAAGGAGCACTATCTATTGACTAAATTTAATATGCAATATTAATAAAAGTTGAGAACACCACGTTTCAAAGATTTACACGTTATAAATTAGTAGATCATTTGCATTAATTTCTTGTAAATATGACATGTGTCACTCCCATATGATTCTACTGTACTTTTATATATATATATATAGATATATAGATAGGCGATAATGTTACTCACATTCCTATTCGCGAGTTGCTTCGAGAAATGATTAAAAAAAATAATGGCATGTGACCTACAAAAATAAAAAATAAAACAAAAAGAAAATCAAACTTATGGATTATATGCCACACAAAAAATGCACGGATTTTTGTAAAGCAATAATAACCTGCAAGTATTCGCCCCACCAGGTTGAAGTTGGTTTTATTTTGTATACAATTATCAACACCGTATTAATTTCTGCAATGTATCAATTGTTAAAAGCCACGTTTGTTTCTCATCTTCTACTTCTACTATTCTTCAGCTTCATAATATATGCTCAATATATATAGATGATGTCAAAATTATGTAAAAACATTGTTATGGTTTATGCCATAATTACATATAGAATGATGAAAATTGAAAAGTTTTTTTTTTTATATAATGGTTGGATAATGCGGACAATAAATTGTTTTGAGTCTCTAGGATCGGATTGAGAACAGCCTGTTTGGTCTGGTAGTGTTTTCCTGTCGGACCAGGAAGAAGCTCGCTTGCGTGATGAAGAAGAAGCTCTTGAGGAGGATGAGAGAAGAGATGATGATGGTGATGGTGATGGTGATGGTGGGTGCGGTTTTGCGCATGGATACCATCTGGTGAAAGGGCAAATGGGTCATGGAACGGAAGACAAAAGGTCACAGTCTTGGTGAAAGGGCAAATGGGTCTGAGGAATGTGGACGGTTCACGGGGTGGCTCGACCGCTGTGACGGCGATACTTGTGGACGGGAAGAAACTGGTGGTAGCGAACGTGGGCGATTCCCGGGCAATCCTGTGCAAGAAAGGGCAAGTGAAGCAAGTAACCTGTAACCATCGATCACGAACACGAAAAGGAGAGAGATAAGGCCGAGAGCAAAGGCGGGTTCGTCTCCACAAACCCGGGTAAAGATCAACAGTTTGAGTTTTTTTGTATCAGTTCATGTCTGAAACCAGACAACTGTTGTCTCGATCCAACACGAAAATGGCCTTTCGGTTTCAGGGAATGTTCCAGAGTGTTGGTGGGCAGTTAGCAATATGGCGAGGGCGTTTGGAGATGGAAGCTTGAAAGAACACACGAGTGTGAAACCAGACATAGCCATGGAAGAAGTGGACGATGAATCTGAATTCTTGATCTTGGCGAGCGATGGTCTTTGGAAGGTGATGACGAACGAAGAAGCCTCTGGACGGATCAGAGGAATCGAGAATGATGCAGGAGAAGCTCGTTGAAGAATCTTTAGACACGGGAAGAACCAAGACGATGTTTCTTGTGTTGTTGTCTCTTCACTAAGCCATGCATCTTCTTGAAGGAATCTGTCTTTTGAATCTGTCACATTCGGGAGCTCCAAAGTTCTTGGAACTGGGACTAGGGTTTAGTTTTTTCTGTCTTTTGATTCTGTTGATCTGTTTCTGCAATTTTCTTGGTTGGTTGGTTCTTGTCGTTTCCTTTGCAATCAAACCGGTTCTTTCCGAGGATTCTGAATCTGGGTTTGGTTTATGGTTTAGGTTTTTTTTTTCTGATCGAATAAAACTAAACATTTTTTGTCCTTTTATGTCCATTGAGTTAGGGTTATTATGTCAACGAATTAACCGTTATTATCGTTATTATCTGAACTTAGATTTATTCAGATCAAATAAAATTATTGTAACATTTAATAATTTGATCTACTAAAATTAGATTTATTCAGATATAAGATTTTGGTTTCGAATTCTAACAAAGATATAATCTTTAGTTTTGGTCTTTCCTTAATCTCTAATTAGGATTTTGTTTTTGTAGAAATCTAACAAAGACAATCTTCCCTTTTGAATTTTTTTTTTCTAATTGAAAAAAGGAATATTTCCAAATCCTAACTTACTTGAACACGCTTTCTTAAATTCTAAATTCTCCAAATTTATCATTCGAATCGGTAAATCAAATCCTATTCGTGATAGGACTCTTACCATAAATTCGTTTTCATGAAATATTTTATTTGTAATTTTGGTTGTGTGGGGGCTCAGACTCCTAAAATATAATATACTCCAAATACAAAATAAATAAATAAGTACAAGGACCTGTGATGCAAATAAAATAATTTAAGATTCGGTGAGGATAAAAACCTATAAATAGAAGGGAGAGAGTCGATTTCAGGGTTTTTGTGTGCGGGGAACTATCAGAGATCTCTTCTCTTCTTCATCGACGGAGACGGTGAGGTTTCAGTTTGTACTGTCGGAAAATATTCGGAGAGAATTTTCCGGTATCCCTACGGCGGAGCTAGTTTTGTGACAAGCCGATCGTGAAGCGAGATCAGTTCAATCATCGTGAGTTGTACTGTCTTTTCCTCGATTTCGAGCGCTTTCTGGTTTCGATCTGGTTTCTAGGTTTAGGAGTTGCGATTGCGAAGGAGACTCTAGGGTTTTCCTAGAGTTTAGAGTCTCTCTCTCTCTCGTCACGGAACTTGATCCGTGCCCTGAAACTGGTCTCTTTCTCGCTAAGAACCCCTAAAGAAAAAACATTGAGCTTGTGTCGGTCCTGATTTGATCTCGTGTTTTTGTGGGCCCAACTTTGATTCTGTTTTTTTCTTCTTGTTTTCTGACAATAATTTAGTTTAGGAGATAAGAGAGGTTTACTTCTTTCCTGGATGCGTAATTACTTGTTATGCTCTCTGAGGATCTGGAAAGCTTTCTATTTCAAGAAACATAACTCTGTTTCTTGTGGCTTTTGTCTCTGTCCTGTCTGAAAATTCGGTTTTCTAGTTGTTTTTCTAAATGGAAATAGAGGACTGAAGGCAAGTTACTTATGTTTTGGGGTTCATATCCTGAATCCGGATATCCGATCTTTCTGTGCCTTAATCGTAGAAACACTTCTCATTCTGCATCTAATGCATGTGCTCTAACTCAGAAACAATGGGAGCGGACGGAAAAAAGGATCACGCAAGCTTTTTTGAAGAAGACGATGTTAATTTCTCGGACGAAGAGTTGGTGTATTATGTTAGAAATGCTCTTGCATCTGTCCTACGGGTAAGCCTTTCACAACCGTCGAAGATTTCTCGATCTCCTTCCTTTTCCTAACGCTTGATTTTCGGCGATGCACCTCTATATATGTTTTGTGCTATTTGATTTCCAAATCTATCTCTTTCTTTTTCTTTGTAATGCCAGAATGATACTAGTGATTATGACGAGCTCGTTGGATTTATGCACCACGGAGGATCTCTTGCTTCCGAACAGGACAAAGACCCGGCACTTATCGCGGTCTGTCCCTTATTCTCATTCTGATTGTCGATTTTTGAAACCGTTTTCATTTGCATTGTTCTTTTTTCAGACAAGCTTGAAGGCTCTATCGGGTGCTGTTACTTGCATAGACGCCATTCACCATCGGACTCTTCTTGCCTCCGTGAGTTCTTACTTCCCAATATCAAGTTTATGATGTGTCGGAGTCTCCCACTTTTTTTCCTCTGATTTTTTTTTTATTATTTTTTTTCGTGTTCAGATTTTCGGAATGCGTTTGTGGAACAACGGTCCTGCTGTCATGAATGCATTGTTAGACTTGATAGTATCACTGGTACGCAACTCGGCAAATGCCCTTTTATCGGCTTATCTTGAATCTATCGAAAAACTTAACGTTTTTGGTCTTTGTTTTTTCCTTCTCAGGCTGCTACTAGCGGAAAGTATCTCGACTCTTGTCTGTATATGCTCGTAAACCACTTCATCCCGCCTCAGTCTTTCTCAAATAAACCTCCAAACCCTCGAAAGCGGGATCGAGTTCTTTCTCTCGTCCACCGAGCTCTTGAGGATATTTATTGTTTGGTTCCACTTGCTCCCACAAGATTGGTACCTATACTCGCCCAAAGAATGCCCACAGTGCACAAAAAGGATCATGTAAGTGTATTTTTCGGACCGACATTCGGCAAATCAAACGAAAAGCTCCTTTTGGCGATGAACTGAAACAAAAAATTCCAATCTTTCTTGCAGTTGATAGTAGATTATGTGGAAAACTTGTTAAAGTTGGCGAGTAGCTCAATCGGGGAGGTCGTTGGGGACATGATTCTGATGATGGTGATGGAGAGGCTGCGAGATTTGGATGTAAGTAGACTGTAGATATACACTATTCAGATTTTCAGACAAAAGTTTGTACAATACGGGCTATGAATAATGCGGTTAGTCAATTATAAAAATCGGGTATCCATATAGGTGGAGATTGGATGGGACGATATTCCACAAGATGGATCCCGTACAAGCGTATGTCCTATGGAACTTGATGATGATGCTGATGAAAACAAGGTATGTTATGGTGTGTATTATGTTCTTTTTTTCGGCAAATATTTCAGCTGAAACTCTTTACTTTACTTGGCAAAATGATCGGAATGGTGATAGATCTTTACTTGCCCGGTATTCTAAATCTCGTTACCGATAATTTCTTTTATATCTGTTTTGCAGATTCCAAAAGGATCGTTGGATCAGAAGAATCTAGATGGAGACATAGTCTGTGAATTGTTGGACAATCTGATGGTCCTAACCTTTAAGCATCTCGAATCATGTCATACTTCTGGTCATTTGGGAGAGGTATGCCAGATATTGTTCTTGATTTCAGCATCAATTTCTTTTCCTTTTGGACCGACCCGTAATGTTTCTTTCGTTGATGATTTTGACATTTAGGTGTTTGAATCTCTGTTCAAGTCGTTCGAGAACTTGATTCTGAACACATACAAATCAAAATTTGCCCAGGTTGGTAGAATGTCGAGACACATACTTTCAGACAGTTGAGACGGGTTGCTCTCGGCTTAAACCCTGACTATATTTTTTCCTCTTCTATGATGCAGTTCGTGATCTTCTACGCCTGCTCGCTAGATCCCGATCACTGCGGTGTGAGATTTGCCAATAACCTGGCTGACATTTTCCTCTCCAAAAGCAAGCCTCCACTTACAAGGTGAGCTTTCAATCTGTTCATCAATGTTAGACATCATTTCAGTAACGTCTCGGTTTATGATATATGCCGGTTTCTTCTTATACAGGATGAGCGCTGTGGCTTATCTCGCTAGTTACTTGTCCCGTGGAAAGTTTCTGTCCACTTCTACCGTCGCTGGCATCTTGAGGAGGTATAAAGAAAACTGCTGCTAAATCTTACACAGTGTTTGATCTGATTCTCCGTCTCTGATCTGATTCTCTGTCTAGGTTGGTGGAAGCATGTGAGGAATACTGCAGAAAATGTGGTGACGATATTAAACCCGAATCACATCGGGTTTTCTACTCGGGATGCCAGGTATAAGCCCTTTCTTTCTCTGGTAACAAAGACGATGCGTTTTTTCTTCGATACATTGACGAATCGCTGAAAAAAGGTTATATATTTTACAATGGCAGGCGGTCATGTACGTTCTATGCTTCAGAATGGCGGCCATCATCGACGTTCCGCGCCACAAATCGCTGCTTATGCCGTTGGAGACAGTGTTAAAACATAAACTAAACCCGTTAACGGTAAGAAATCGTCATTGTTCATTACTGTTTTCAGCAGAATGAACGAACAGTGGTAATTTTTCGTATGGATCATAGGTATGCCTCTCATCTGTAGTGACCGAGTTCCTTAGACAAGCGAAAGCAGCCGCCTTTACATTTTCAGAAGCTTTCGTGTTCGAAGAAGAAAGACAAGAATCCGAACCCTCTAATGCATCCGGCGGGAAAGAGAGGATCGATTCGTTCTTCCCTTTCGACCCGTGCTTGCTCAAGACCTCTGAAATGTACACTTCTCTCCTCCTCCTTTTTATCACTGAATCTTCTCTTTTCTGTTCAGACAAGAAACTGAAAGCAGATTCTTCTAGATGCTTCCAGACTGATTAACTCGTCGGTTTCTCTTTTTTCGTGTGTATTGGCAAACATTTTTCAGAAGTTACATACGAGAAAACTACGTATATTGGGGAAATGTGAGAAAGGCATACGATGATGAAGCAGAAGGAGAAGAAGAAGACAACTTCAATGAAGTCGAAGTGATTGTGTTCAACGACGAGGAAGATGTCTGAAGACATGATGAAGTTAGCATTCACATTAATTCTTTTAATCTCTTTAGCTACATAAATTTTGTCTCTTTGTAAAAAAAAAATGTGTAGTTTGTTTTTGTTCTAATGCTTAAATAAATAAAATGAGTTTTGATTAGGGGTGTAAAAAAAAAGGGCTTAACCGGCCAGTCCGGTCCACCTCGTTCCGATCTGAGAATATTTTAACTCAATTCAACAAAAATAGATCAATATCACCTTAACGTACGAGCCGATCTATAAGTCAAATATATAATTTTAAAAAATATGTAAAATATAATAAAAAAAATTTAAATAAAACAAACTAAATATCTAATAAAAATACAATTTTATATAAAAAATATTTAAAAATATTAAAAATTAAATTTTTTTTTTGGTCTATGAGCGAGTCACTCGTCCAACTGGTTCACCACGAGTCCGATTCGTGAAGAACTGACTCATTTGATCCGTTTTTTCTATACTCAAATATTTTGAACTAATTTAGAAAAATATGGATTGACGTGCGAACCAATTCGCAAACCAGATTCATTTTACATATCTAGTTTTGATATAAAAAAAAAGTAAAATCTTATATAAATAATTCGATTTTACAAAATATATTATATAGGTATCTAAACTTTTTAATTTGATTTAATTCAAAAATCAAATTTAAAACTGAAATAATTGAACATACCGAACCAAAATATGGTTCTTTGCCGTGAATGCGACGCAGTCCCCTTGGGTTGAAGATGCCTTTTTTTAGCTGTGGATTCGCTGCATCCGGTTATGGGTTAAACCGAGACCGGTCCGGTTTAGAAACTTTTGGCGAATCGTACCGGTTATCGATCACCAACTGATCATTTCGTCCCTTTTTTGTTTAACGTCGGCAGCTTGCTTCTGTTTGTTCACAAAAACCCTAGAACCTCGAGCTTCGTCGTCGGCTTCGCTTCTCTTCGATTCGACTCAGAAGAACGAATACCCAGAAAATATGCCTCCAAAAGCAGCCAAATCTAAGGATGCAGCTCCCGCCGAGAGGCCGATTCTTGGCCGTTTCTCTTCTCACCTCAAGATCGGAATTGTACTTCTTCTTGCCCATCTCTCCGATTTTTTTTCTGTTTCTCGTTGTTTTTCACTCTCTTTGTTATCTGGGTTTGATGCCCATTTCTCTGATGTTGGAAAAATTTGCTGAATTTGTTGAACCCGGTTTGAGTTACGGCATTTGCATGCGAACCCATTTCCAGTGATTGAGATGGGTTTCCATTTTCTGGATTTTTTTTGTGGGAATCCAATGGTTAATTGGTTGTTCTAGTTTCGGAAACGGCCGAATCTGTGCTTTGGTTGATCGTAGAATTTGAGGAGAATCGTTGGAGTAAGAGGATGCAGAATCATGGCTGTGATTCATGCAGGATCTGTTACATATTTGAGAAAAAGATAGATTCGAATCGACGATCACATATTTTGTCTGTATAATCGCAGGTTGGATTGCCGAATGTCGGGAAATCTACCCTTTTCAACACCCTCACGAAGCTGTCGATCCCTGCTGAGAACTTCCCCTTTTGTACCATCGAGCCTAATGAAGCACGTGTGAATGTTCCCGATGAACGGTTTGATTGGCTTTGCCAATTGTACAAGCCCAAGAACGAGGTTAGTTTGAACTCGGTTTGGCATGTCTTGTTTGCCGATATGCATCTGTATGTGTCTTGAATTGCTGTTGTTTGACGCCCAGGTTTCGGCTTTCTTGGAAATCCACGACATTGCCGGGCTTGTTAGAGGGGCTCATCAAGGACAGGGTCTCGGCAACAACTTTCTGTCCCACATTCGTGCTGTTGATGGGATTTTCCATGTTTTACGTAAGTTGAGTTTGGTCTGATGCATAATGTTATTGTTTTACATTGCTATGCTTGATGTGCGGTTCTTCTTGTGTCGTAATTCTTAGTTGATTGATAGGAGGATCTTCTTGGTCTTTCCGGTGAGATATTGGTTAATTTATTTGCATTCTGCTCTCTTATATGCATATTCTTGTGTTTTGCCCTTTCTAAACGATCAAGGTAAATGCTTTTTTAATCTTGGTGAAAGAGTAGGATGAGATCACAGAGCACTATCGCTGTGGTGATTAACTTTACAAGTGACTATGTTCAGGTGCATTTGACGATGCGGATATTATCCATGTTGATGATACTGTGGATCCTGTGAGAGATTTGGAGACCATAACGGAGGAACTGCGATTAAAGGTGAACTCTTTAGTACATATTGATTGCTAAATTTCCAAACTTTTTAAACGTATTGTTTCACTGATCTCTTTTGCTTGTGTTAGTTTGATTTTGTAAGTCGTTGTGGTGGCATCCATTTGAATAGATTTCATAATCTATTCGTGTTGTCCAACTTTAGGATATTGAATTCATTGGAAGGAAGATCGAAGATGTTGAAAAGAGCATGAAGAGGAGCAATGACAAGCTGTTGAAAATAGAGCTTGAGCTGTGTCAAAGGGTTTGTTTTTCAATTTTTAACAATTAATTTTTCTTCTACGAACGTTCTCAGTGATTCATGGTTTTAAAAAATGGTTCCACCTCTCTGGTTCAGGTAAAAGCTTGGCTCGAAGATGGAAAGGATATCCGTCTTGGGGAGTGGAAAGCTGCTGACATTGAGATTTTGAACACTTTTCAATTGCTTAGTGCAAAGCCTGTTGTTTACTTGGTGAGTTCTCTAGATTTTTCATCTTTTTTGGTGTGAAATCTCCAATGATTTTGGATTCTTAGCTTTGTCTGATCTCTATATTTCACCAATTTGTTGTTTCTAATTTTCTTGGCCCCTTAAAGAACTCTGAAGGCACATTGACTGGATTGTCTTGTGATCATTGGTTAATCTTTTCTTCAACCTGCAGGTTAACATGACCGAGAGAGATTATCAGAGAAAGAAGAACAAGTTCTTGCCAAAGATTCATGCTTGGTACTTGCATTTATCCCTACATAACATAAGCTGCTTTGAATAACAAGTGAACATTTGTTTTACTCGGTTGCTGCATGAATTCTTTTCTGTTTTATATTTTGAGCAGTTTTACTTTCACAGCAAGCTTATGTCGATTTAAGCGGTATTTAATCTACTCTTATGTAGGGTTCAAGAACATGGTGGCGAGCAAATAATTCCTTTCAGCGGCGTTTTGGAAAGAAATCTCGCTGATATGTTACCAGATGAAGCAGCAAAGTACTGTGAGGAGAACAAAGTGCAGAGGTTAGTCTTGAAACAAACAACATTGCTTTGAGGAGTATTTGCTTAAAAATGTCTCTTCCATAAAACCCGTTTTGTGAATGTTATGGCCGCTGTTTCTTCCACAGTGCTCTTTCGAAGATTATCAAAACTGGGTTTTCAGCCATTAATCTCATATATTTCTTCACAGCAGGACCGGATGAGGTATTATACTCTGACTATCCATTTTCCCATTTCTCTTTGCTGCAATGGTTTACTTGTGAATGATCAATTAAGGTGCAAGCACACAAATACCTGAAAATCGGGTATCCGTCGGATAGTCATCTCGCATTATTATTTATCTCTTATTATCTCATATTTTTATCGTAATTCATCCATTTTTATAAATATATCTTCATTTTTTCAAAATTTTATATATAAATATTATTGTTTTTTCTTAAATTAATCTGGATCCGGATACCCGCGAGTACCCGACCATTATTCCGGATACTCGTACCCCGGATACTCGTAAATCCCAAATCCCGGATACAAATCTTATAATTCAATATCCGAGCCTTCCGGATCCAAATCCAAGTACCCTGATTTTCCCGGATATCCGACCCGTGCCCACCCCTAGTAAGTAGCAAGTGGGGATTTCTTATAAATCCGATGGTTTAACCGAATTAACCGATCATTGTCTTTTTTGCAGGTTAAATGCTGGCAGATACGGCGCCAGACAAAAGCTCCCCAAGCTGCAGGGACCATTCATACCGATTTTGAGAAAGGATTTATTTGTGCTGAGGTTACTTTCTTCTCATTTCTCATGATTGCACCTGGTTTTATTGATTTTTTTTTTTTTTGGTTTTTCTCCCTTTATATTCTTTGAAGCCTGTCATTGTGAAATAACATGTTCACTTGTTCTTAACTTCATCTTGTTGGTGGTGATTTTTACCTGTGATTGTATCTGTGGATGTGTATAGAAATGTGTGGAACTACCTTTTCCCCATCTGTCCCGCAAACCGATCAATCTTTAGTTGAAAATGTGTACTCCATCTATATATGGATCACTATATATAATTCCTGTTGGTGTTGCAGGTGATGAAATTTGAGGATCTCAAGGAACTTGGCAATGAAGGTGCTGTTAAGGTACTTTTATAAATCTCATTGCTCGCTTCATCCCCTGTTCTTAAGTTCATCTCTGAATAAGCATTGGAATGGAATCTCTGAAACTGATATTGTTTCCTACAATACTTGCAGGCTGCCGGAAAATACAGACAGGAGGGGAAAACATATGTTGTTCAGGACGGAGATATCATATTTTTCAAGTTTAACGTCTCCGGGGGCGGGAAGAAATGAGAGATCCATCCATTTTTTGCTGTCTCGGAGTTCCGTTGCAAATCTGAGAGAGAGGATGAGACTGTATTCTTGGTTATGGATGATGCCTTTTTTTTCATGGCTTATAGAGAACAAGTATCTGTATCTTGTCTGTTTTGCAGTTAAGCTTGAGACATAAATCTTGTCTGTGGTCTCCATGTTTGGTGATTGAACTGTACAGACAAAGATCTTATCCATTTGGTAGGAGAGATTTGACAACAACAGGGGAAAAAAAGACTGCAGTTCTTTGCTACTGTTATGCCTGCGAGGAACACGTGAAAGATTTCAAGATTTTTTTTTTCTTGAAACAGTTTTACAGAAATCAAGAAATATCAAGCCATGGATCTTTCTGGCACCCAGAACAGAGATTTGGGGAACCAATTGAAAAGGATTGAGATAAGAATGCTGTAAAACCAGACAGTACTCAAGAGGCTCAAGCTCATTACTGACAACTTTCTGAATCGACAGAATCAATAGAACAAAAGAATTTAGTAGAGTAACAACACCTTCTCATCATGCCATATCATGGATAGATGAAACTTGATCATCTTCATCATCATGATCATCACCATCATCCTATTTGACACTTCAGACGTCTTCCGCAGCTCCTGAGTGAGAACAAGAACCTTGCAGAGTCTGATTCTCCATGGCTGTTCCTTCATCATTATCCAGAGCTTGGCTGCTCGAAAACGAGTCTTCAAGGTTCGATTTTCGTGACCAAGCTTCGTGAAGCTGCAAAACATACTCCAAGTGCCATAGAACTTCGCCCATTGTCGGCCTGTTCTTGCCTTCATCTGCAATGCATTTCTCTGCTATCTCCCCAAACTTCTCCAACGACTCGGGACAGTAGTTTCCCTTCAGATTCGGGTCGATGATGTTCTCGAGCGATCTTTCCCGTTGCCACCTCAACGCCCATTCCGCGAGGTTAATCTGGTCTTTTGGCAAACTCGGGTTTATTACAGCTCGAGCACAGATAACCTCGAACAGAACAACGCCAAAAGAGTAAACATCTGACTTCTCGGTTAACTGCTGTCTCCTGAAGTATTCCGGGTCAAGATATCCGAAACTCCCTTTGACGGCTGTACTGACGTGAGTGTAATCAACTGAAGGTCCGGTTTTTGACAGACCAAAATCCGACATCTTTGCTACGAAATTCTCGTCGAGTAATATGTTTGTTGTCTTGACATCTCTGTGAATAATTCCTCTCTCGGAGCCCGTGTGAAGGTAATGCAATCCCCGAGCAGCTCCGATGCAAGCTTCGAGCCGTTGCTTCCATGTCAATGGAGGAAGGTCGCTTCCGAAAAGATGGCTCCTCAGTGTTCCATTCGCCATGTATTCATAAACCAAGATCATTTCACTATGCTCGTCACAGAACCCGATCAGCGACACGAGATGTCGATGCCTAAGCCTTGAGAGCATCACAATCTCGGTTTCGAATTCAGCAAGCCCTTGCTCGGATTGCGGGTTGGCCCGTTTTATCGCTATGAGTGTTCCATCTTCAAGCTCCCCTTTGTAAACCCTACCAAACCCACCAACTCCGATAGCTAAACCGTCATCGAAGTTCTTTGTAGCAGCACGGATCTCGGCTAGCGAGAATTTCCTACCCATTGTAGATGCCACTAGAGTGTTCAAGTTCAAAGATCCACCCATTCTTTTAGCGTTAGCCGTGCTGTTATTGACATGCAAGAACAGTGGCCGCCATCCAGGAGGGCCGTTCTTGGATTTATCGGGTTTACCTCTCGTTTTCTTGAGGAAACAGACTATGAACATCACCAAGATTGTCAAGAGAAGGATGGTTCCTACACTGGCACTGATACTGATCCATATAATCCGCATCTTTGAGTCATTAACTGAGTGCCCGGATGAATCAAACCTCATGAGATGAGCAAGGTTTCCATTTTTGCTGAGCTTGAAAATCTCCAGACCATTGAGAAGAGCATCAGTTCCAGAGGCACCGACAGCAGTGTCTGGACCAAGTTGAATCCATAGGACGTTGTCCTTCGAAGAGACGTGATCAAAGTAATCTTGATAAATAGCTCTGTTCTTCCCACCCGCATGCTCGTATATATCGAAATTACCAGCTACCGTCTCGTTGTTTATGTATATTCTGAATATCCTCTGGTTTGGCTTATCGAAAACCAGCTCACAGAAATGTAACCGGACCAAGTAATCGAAATCCGGGTCCACTTCGAATTTCCACGACATGTTGAACCGTTTCTCCAAGACTTCGGTATTCGACATCGTTCTGGCTGCTTCATAGACAAGAAGAGGAGCCACAGAGGAATCATTGGCTGAAGCATATGTGATATTTGAGCTGTTCTTGATTTCCACTCCAGCATTTGCAATGACCATGTAGCTTGAATCTGTCTCCCATGTTCTATATAGATCAGGATCTTGGCCAGGATTGATCTTTGAACCACCAACATTCAGCCTATACATAGTTTCTATTCCACGTCCATCCAAATTCAGATCCACATCGTTTCCACCGGCTCTAGTCACCGGTTCCCTGAACAATTGCTCCATCACGGGAACAATCTCGATAGCATTAACAAACCCGAAAGACCCTTTCCTCGGAATGAACTCAACAATCAGTTTTCCTGAACTAACAGGGAGAACAAACTCTTTGACCAAGGAGAAGGCAGTGGAGTTGATGCTCGAGCTTTGAAAGATCAGATTTTTATGCGCAATCTCTCCCGGGACATCGAAGTCCTGCATCACTCTCAAACCATTCGCAAACACGGTGAAAGAAGACTCGTTCACATTGTAGCTGTCAATGGGGAATGGGCAGAAATGGAACCTAACAATGTAGCTCCCCCTATTGATTCCTTCGAATGTATAGTTCAACTTATCGGGAAAAACCCGAGCAGACTTATATATCTCGGAGAATATCGAATTCCCCTCCAATGTCGAGGTCATTGCCGTGATCCCGGGTGAACTAAGGGTGATATTGTTGTTGGGAGCTAAATCTCCTACCCATATCCTTCCATCTACTTTAGTTGAAGAATTTGATCCACAATCAACAAGAAAGCCTCTGGATTGAGCTTCTCCATAGCCAACAACACAAGTGAAAGCAATCAACACGGATAGAAGTCGAACCTTTCTCAATATCATCATCACCATTACCACTCTCCTTTTCAAGAACCCTAGAATTATACCAATCAGTAGTGGGAAATATAAAGAACACCCACCAACACAATGTTCAAGAACAGATGGAATCTGGGAAATGCATCCAAAACCTAGCTCGGGAGCAGAGATTTCTCAAATGGGTAACTTCCGTTCTCTATCCTTCACTGTTCATCAGTCTCCACTAAAACCAACTCAATAATAACGCAGCAGAAGTATCAGAGCAGAGTTGGTTAACAGAAGATGAAATTCCTTCCACTTTCTCAAGCAGAAAACTAAACCCTTTCAGCAAATCAAACGAGAAATTCTCGAAACTTTCCCAAACTAAGTAAAACGATGAAAAAGCTCCGGACTTTGCCCAAATTCGGCGAACAGAACAGAGATCCCCCACCTTTGGGCTCCTCTTGTTTTTCCCTTTCAAGTAAAAGCAACAACAAGATGACAAATCTGAGACAGACCCAGAAGATTTACGAGTTATCAGACCAATAAAAACAGATTCTTGAAGGAATAACAACACAGAAAAAGGAATCTTATTGAGAAGATGAGAGGCAGATGAAGAACAAAGATCTAGTCTTTCAACAAGAAATCAGTGAAAAACATCCAGAGGCGTTGGAGGGGAGGGGGGGAAGCTTTTTGTTTTGAAAAAAAAGTTGAACACTGGAGGAAAAAGTTTGATATGTTATCTGGAAATGAAACCGGAAGAACATGGGTTGTTTGTTGGAACAGATTGGAAAAAAAAAATAAGAATATACAAAAAAAAAGATATTGCCTTTATTTTATTTTATTATTTATTGATCTCTCTCTGTTGATTTGTTGCGGTTTGGTCTGCCCTTCTTCTTAAATCATAAAGCGCCAAGAATGTGACATGACCAGTGACCACCCTCTTTTTGGTACGGTCTTTGGAAACCGAATTATACCAAACCAAAAAAATATGGTATTTTTTTAATAAAATTGTCTAACGATATTTAAAAAAAAAACTGATTTTTTTAAAATCGAACCGAATCGAATAGAACTAAATTTAAAAAAAAAAATCTTAAAAACCGAAATTTTTTTAAAAATATCTAAATTTTTTTTATAAAAATCTGAATTAAACCGAATATAAAATAATAACCGATTGATATATAATTTTATAAAACCAAAAAAATCAAATCAAACCCAAAGGGAAACATTTAGCCCTACTCTCCTCCCTCCTTTTTTTCTTATTTTCTTGAAATTATATAAACCATTTTTATCCAAAGAAATTTCCGCAACATTTTTATTTAAAGTATGAGAAAATGTTTCTTTTTATAATATCCGAAATAAAAAATTGTCTTTATTTCTGCCAAAAAAATATAAGTAACAGAAATATTCCACTCCGGACAATATTAGAGAAACATGATTACTAGCATGATACACATATATGTATACTAGCATGATATATACATATATTATATATATACATACACAACAATCATATATAATCACTTCTCATTAAATCGAAAATCCGAATATTTTTCTAAATCCAATGTTATCATCGTTTTTTTAGATAACCAAGAGGTTCATCTGAACCTTCGACCCAATCTACATCGCCTAGATCCAGGAGCAGTCTTTAGAGTTCGACGATAGAGGTCCAGAGATTAATATCCTCCCGACCGAGAAACGTCATCATCGTTTGCCTTAGAAAATTAGTTGTAATAATTAGTAGAGATAAAAGGTTCATTATATAATGGGTGCAAATATACACATTACCCTAAAAAACTATAATAGGCAAATATATAGTGAAAATGATATGTGATAATTTGGAACAAATTAATTTCAACGTAAAATGAAGAGAATTTACATCGTTTAAATATTATATAATCCATTGCTTAGTAAATTTCGTAATCTTAAGTTCCAATATAAGGGTTACATAAATGGAAGAAAATATCCATTATACAATATTTTCTAATACAATGAATGAGTATAATTATATTATATTATATGCTTATGTGTATATATATATAAAAATATACCCAACAGATCTTGGACAAGTGATCAATTTTGAGATAAGAGGTAATTTTTCGTTGAGGTTGAGTGTTCGATTTCTGTCTGGTGGAGAGGGAGGTAATTTTTGGATTTATATGATTCATATATAAAAACTGTTCCCGGGTCGCAGGCTTATCTAGTTAATGCGCTCGAAAGCTAACAGTTGGGTCCTCCGTTATTAAAATATATATATATATATATATATATATATATGAAAGGAAAATAGAGAATGGGAATAAGACAAAAAGATAAGAAGCGGTGGAAGAGATGAGAGGCCATCAGTGGGTCACATGCACCTTGTCCGGCAGATGATGTACACGTATTAAATACCCGAAATACCCTCCTCCTAGATATATAATAATTATATTAATGGAGGGACAGTTTCGTCTTTTTGTTTCATGTCCGTACTCCCCCCAAACCGTGTAGGCGAAAAAAACATTTGTTCATTGCATGATTTTATTACCATGTCCCCCCTCCTATTATTTTAATTTTCACAAAATTATAACCATTAATTAATAATTATAGCTTTGGCTTCACTCAAGTGCAAATGCATCATGAATATAATGGAATAATAATGCATAATTATACTATTGAATCTAATGGAATAATAATGCATAATTATACTATACAATATTTTATGTAAGTTAAATTAATTTAATTCGAACCAAAATAATTGAAGAATTGAAGAAAAATGAGTTTTCGGGAAAATAAATATTTAACGTAGAAACAAATATAAATAATTGAATATAAAAAAATCATATTATCATTTTTAAAATCGAAATATAAAAGTTAAAACATAATCAAAGTAATTACAATGGTAGGTTTGGTTATATTAAGCACAATTATAATGGTAGGTTTGGTTTCGTTTTGCTTCAACTTTTAGTTTCATTTTATTTTTCTTTCATTTATTTATAGTTTTATATTTACGTATTTTTTTTAACGTACGACCCAATTATGTAAATTTCATACACCATGGGCTATAATTTAGTCTTCGGCCCAATAGATGACCACTCGTGTTGTTGTCCATAAGGCGATGGATAAAACCCAAGATAAATTTTTTAAAATTAAATTATTTGTTAAAACAATTAGAAAAAAAGGTAAAACTTATTAAAATTCTTGTAAAAATTAGTATAAAATTAATTTTGTTTGAGAAATTTACTTTTAAATTTATAAAATATATTATTATAATTTTTAATTTTATAAAATATGTTATTATAATTTTTAAACTTGATGAATGTGTCATTATAATTCCCAAACGAATTTATAAATTAAAGTTATCAAGTTTTTTTATCAATTAATAAGATTTGAGAATTATAATGATATATTTTATAAATTTTATAAGAAATTTATCAAACAACAAATTTAAAAACTATTTTTATATCATTTTACAAATTTAGGAATTTTAAATGGATTTGCTCTAGAAAAATGAGCAAATAAAAACTATAAAATTAAATAAATATATTTTAAAAAATAGGAATACAAATCTAAAAACAATCCAGCTGAAATTAAAATAAATCGAAAATATCTTTTTAGTTAAAAGTATGTCCATAACAAAAAAAAAAAAAAATAGGCTAAGAAGTAAGAACCAAGAGATTAAAAAAAAAAAGCTTTATTTTCTAATCATATGTCGAGGATTAGAAAAGCTAATAATACGTTAGAATTTTAAAAAACTATATGTTATTATTATTGTTATTACTTAGTTGCTTATTAATATTACTTTTAATATTATTTAAATAAAGGTTTATTATTTATGAATAAATTATGTGAATGGCTATGTAATTACTACGGGTGGTTTAATCGGATTTTGGTTCGGATTCGGTTCGGTTATATTCAAATTCGGTTATTTCATTTTTAGAAAAATTATAACCGTTCGATTTTTATATTGAATTCAGATCGGTTTGATTCGGAATTGGTTCGGTTATGATAAAAAAATACTCATTTTTATTAAATAAATTTACGATTTTTTTGGTTTTTTTATTTGGTTCGGTTCAAATTTGATTTTTTTGATGTCAAAAAATTATAACCATTTGGTTTTATATGTAATTTGATTGGTTTACCATTAATTTAAATGGATTCGGTTATTCAATTATTAATCAGATAAGCCACGCTAGTAATTACGGGTGTCGAAGGATGCGATTTATAGTTCTTGTAGAAGATTGGACCACCGTGGATCAAGAGATATTAGATATCGCGTTTAAAAAGAAACAAATCTCTCTCTCTCTCTCTCTCCAATATCCCAAAATTTCCCACATTTCCGATCAAAAAGCAATTATTTTTTTTACTATCGACTCAAAGATTTGGCAACCCATTTCGCGGTCCTCTTCGATCTCATCTGGGTTGGTGAAATTCCGGGGATTGGGCAACGAAGAGCGCGGCAATTTCCGATTTTTTTCTCTTAAACTCCTCGATATACTGAATGAGTAATCTCCGTAGCAATGGTGACGCACGAAAGCTGGAGGGAGACGGAGGAGAGGCGGAGGAGGAGAAGTCTCGCACGAACAACGGCGGGGCATGTCAAAACGGCGGCGAAGACGGCGTCGTATTGGGTCTCGACGGCGGTGCAACATCGACGGTGTGCGTGTGCATGCCTTTCCTCCCGTTCGGCGATCGCTTGCCGGAAAACCTCCCGATCCTCGGCCGTGCCGTCACCGGTTGCACCAACCACAACAGCGTAGGAGGTTTCGTCCAATTTCTCCTGAGATTTTCAGAATTGAGCTCCCCTTTTGCGGTTAATCACGTCTTGTGCTGGTCATTTTGTGTTCTGTTAGGTTATAAATCTTGGGTCTTTGGCTGAATTCTTTGGAAATTCTTGTTTTGTTTTAGCTGTAGAATCTTCATGGGCGTTAAAACATCGGAGTATAGTGAATTTTATCGGTATATCTTTATCTGAAGATTACGGTTTGTCAGATAACATGCGATTGAATGTTTACTACACCTTGGGGCTTGGGAATGGGCTAAAGATTGATATGAATTTTGGAACTTTCTTACATTGGAAAATCAAGACTGGTTTTATCACAATGTGATGTTTGCCTGTCTGGTTTTTGTTGCTTTGAGATCCTTGAACTGGAACTCAAGTTTCATCTCATCTCAATGTGTATTAAGCTAAACTGTCTAAACTCTTAATTGCCAACTTTTAGCTCAAAATGTGGATAAATTAGGTATTAATCCGAGTAAAAATTTCATGTTGTGGCTCCATTTTTGAGATATTTTCTAATGAGTTTCTTTGTGGATTGTAATTTACAGAAACAGCAGCTAGGGATTCACTAGAGCAAGTAATTTCCGATGCTCTTTTAGAAGCGAGTTTAGATAAATCAGCTGTTCGTGGTGTGTGCTTAGGGGTTTCAGGCGTTAATCATCCCTCGGACCAGGAAAGGGTATCGAATTGGATAAGGTCTACCTCTCCAATATCTATGATTACGCCGATGTAAACAGTTTATAACTGATGCTGTTCTAACAAGAAAGCAAGTGAATTCAGTTGCGTGTTCTTCGTTCATTCATTATCCGCATTTAGAGGACAGCATTCTTACTCGATCTTGCCCTCTCGTCGTTACATTTTCAGGGGCATTTTCCCTAGTCGTGTCAAAGTTTATGTTCAGAATGACGCTGTCGCAGCATTAGCTAGTGGAACCATGGGAAAGCTCCATGGCTGTGTCTTAATTGCTGGTACGGGATGTATAGCTTATGGCTTTGATGGAGATGGCAGGGAAGCCCGGGCATCTGGCGCTGGACCGATCTTAGGTGACTGGGGAAGGTATTTTTTTCCCAATCTCCGGTTTATTTTGATTAGTATGTCTTTCCTTTCATATCTTTTTAATCAGCGGGTATGTTTTGTTACAAAAGATCGGATAGATATGTTCCAGAAACATAGATGAAAATCGCTGGACAAATGTTTATCATGTTGTTGTTTCAGCTCTATAAGAATGTTGAATGATTTCTCGTCTCGTTTGATTTTTCATGATGAATGCTTTGAGCATCTTAATAACCGATAACTATTGAATAATGATGTGAATCGTTTACAGTGGCTACGGGATTGCTGCACAGGCACTGACAGCAGTGGTCAGAGCCCATGATGGTCGTGGCCCGCAAACCATGCTTACGTCTACCATCTTGAAAGCCCTCGGTCTTTCCTCTCCAGATGAACTCATCGGGTAAATTCTTCCTTTCAAAACCGTAGACATTGGTTTTCACATCGGTGTATGTATGTATGTATGTATGCTTTCTTCACAATGTTATCAACTGCAGCCATCACTTCGCTTGGAACAATACTCAGACAAAGATTCGGTGTTCTTTTTTTCTGGATTCGGTCAGGTGGACGTATGCAGATCCGTGTTGGGCACGGATTGCTGCTCTCGTTCCCGAAGTAGTGTCTTGTGCGGAAGCCGGCGATGAAATCGCCAACAGAATTCTGGTCGAAGCTGTTGAGGATTTGGCTCTAAGCGTCAAAGCAGTTGTTCAGAGACTCGGCCTGTGTGGCAAAGGTGATTCTTACAGTATAAGATATACAACTTCAGGATCTGAGATTCTTGTAAAGTTCATCAAGAGAAAAAGGGTTTTATCCGAAATCAGAAATTCTTGATCCTGATTGGATCGAAAGGGGTAAAATCCTCGGGTTTTCTCGTTGCAGATGGAACCGATTCTTTCCCAGTGGTGATGGTCGGTGGAGTGCTCAACGCTAACAAGGAATGGGACATAGGTAAAGAAGTGGCGACTCGTATCGTCCAACACTTTCCGGGGGCTTGCACGATTAGACCAAAGGTTATGACCGAGCAGTTTATGTTTCCGTTTTCTCATCTTTCACATGTATACATACGTACGTACGTATGTACATAAAGGACAGTCCGGTGCACAAAGTATCCTGTTGGCCGGGGTCCGAGAAAGAGTATAGCTATATTGTTAGCAAAACTTAACTAGCAGAATTTGCTGCAAGAGGCTGCTTTCATGTATCGAACCCGCCATCCATAGGTCACAATGGCGACGCCTTAATCCGGATCCGAGATATATACATATATATATATATATATATGTTATATGTGTGTTTGGATTATGAAAATGGGGGATGTTCTTTTCAGGTGGAGCCGGCGGTAGGGGCGGCAATGTTGGCGATGAACTTGTTGACGAGAGATGAAGAAGAAGAAGAAGATCATAACCGGTGACAAATACGTTGATTTTGCATGCATGGGGGAATCTTCACGTACGTACGGCACCGTACAGTAAAAGAAAACATGGATTCAGTTCTGTTTCATGTCACTTGTCACATTTCTTTACTACAACAACAACAACGATAAGGGGAAACATGTAAATACAGTGGAAAAAACAACGTTTTCAAGTTGAAGGAGATCATCTCTCGGTGTTTTGGTTCATAGTTTAAGGAGACGAGTGATTGTCCCGTTGCCGTTGCGGCTGTGGATGCCGTCGTTTTCGATGCGTTTTTTGGTGATTGTGGAAGTAATTGCGGATGCTTGCATTCAGAAGCGAATGGTTGATTACGCTTGTAGATGCGGTTTGATATGAATTATAAAAAATAACATGATTTTTAATATACCTTTTTAAAATATTTGTAATTAATTTTATTATTATTAGATAAAAAAGCTATTTACCAAATTTATAAAAAAAAATTATAAATTTCATTAATTTATTTTAAAGTAAAAAATTTATTTTGTTATGAAAAACCTTTTTTTTACAGTTATTATCAAACGTCACAAAACGTTATAAAAACACGAATATAAAAGTGCGATTAGAAATCCCGTGTTTTGTTACAGTTGCGGTTAGCAGCAGTTCTACATTGATTTTTCAATCGTCTGGAAATACCATAACCGTAATCGCTCCGTTTGTACATAATAGCGATGCAATCAGTACTCAAATAGTTCATATAAAAAAAGCTTGTATTAGAATCGATATATATTTCCGCGAATAATACACTATTGTAATAAAACCGACTTTGATCTAATCAAACTGAATTTAAACAATAGAAAACACGTAAAACAATTGCTTTTAACCAAATATTGGACCCAACCAAAAAGTATATATATTTCCGCTAATAATACACTATTTAAAACTTATTTCTAAACTTGTAAAATATATCATTATATTTTTTAAATTTATAAAATATGTTATTATAATTTTTAAATTGATTTTTGAATCAATATCGTCGAAATTTTTTTAAAATTAATTAACAAGTTTAAAAATTATAATGATATATTTTTTGGTAATAAATTTATTAAAGAAAAAATTTAGATTACAAAAAATAGGTTTTATTATAATTTATATTTGCGAATTTATCGTGATAGATTAATTTTGTTATAAACAAAAGTCCAAGATAAAATAATTTAGTAAACCTTTTTTTAATAAAGAAAAAAAACATTTAAACTAGGGTTTTTATCTCTTTTTAAAGACGCGCTTAAACTCCCTCGATCTTCACCTCCTTCCATCGAGCCTCCTCTGCATCGCCGAGCTCTGGCTTCAGGTACGTTCTCCTCCTCCATCTCATCTCTCCCCGCCCTTTCCGGCTCAGAAAATCGATAGCGCGGTCGATCAATCGATGTATCTCTGTGTATGTATATGCGTGTTTTGTCGCTTGCTGATTCAGAAACTCGGTTCATTGTATGCATATGCTTTGTTCATCAGTGATTCAGTCAATTAGGTCAATTATTATAAGTTTCGAATAAATTTTCTGCTTGTTATCGCCGATTTACAGGAGAAAAACTTGTGAAAAAATGGCGTACGCAGCGATGAAACCCACAAAGGACGGCTTGGAGGCGTCATTGGAGCAAATCCACAAGATCCGTATCACTCTGTCCTCGAAGAATGTTAAAAATCTCGAAAAAGGTTAGATCCTTTTTTTTTCAATGTTGAAAATTTGGAAGAAGAAAAAAACCCAATGCTGTTTTGGGAGATTAGCTTATGTTTTCCATTAATGGAGTTAAGAAAACTTTGTGGGTATGTATTCATGTGTTGGTTTCAGTAGTTTAAGCTACTGATTTTCATGTTTTGATAGTTTTCATATGAAAAATATGATTTCCAATAATGGAGTTAGAGTATCTTCATGTGTTGTTTTCAATAGTTAAGCACTTGATTTTGATGTTTTGATAGTTTTCTTGTGAAAATATGATTTCCAATTATGGAGTTAAAAAAAAATTGTGAGTATTCATATGTTAGTTTCAATAGTTTAAGCATGTTTTGATGGGGTTTTTCGTGTGTGTATAAATATTGTAGTGTGCACTGATTTGGTTAGAGGAGCAAAGGACAAGAGGCTTCGAGTCAAGGGACCGGTAAGAATGCCGACCAAAGTTCTTCACATCACTACCAGAAAAGCACCTTGTGGTGAAGGTAAACTTACTTAATCACCTGCCCCATCCCTTTCTTTGGCTTCACCCCAATTTGATATGATGATGATGATGATGATGCCATCTTTCTTTCACCCTTTTGAGAAAGTTTCATCATTTTTCTGGTTTGAATTCTAGAATTTGGTTTTTTTATGAACCTTTTAACCTAGTTGATTATGTCTCTACACAAATTGTTAACCTGATGGAGTTTCTTGCTATATACTACATGTTTCCTCCATGTTTCTGCATCATGAATCAACATGTAACAGGTTAGAACATTGGATATTTGGTAATGCAGCTATTTCTTTCTCTTGATGCATAGGTACCAACATTGGATATTTGGTAATGAACTCTAGATTTGATTTCTTTTTTCTTTTTGTTTAAACTTATGAACTGAACCCTTTGACTTGGTTGATGATGTCTTTACACAAAATGTTGACCTGATTGAGTTTCTTATTACATATTACATGTTTCCTCCATCATGCATCTGCATCATGATCATGAATCAGCATGGAACAGATTAGAACATTGGATACATATACTGTTTCATTCCCTGTCTTGATCTTGATGATTGATTTCTTGATCTGTGTTATGGGAAAGGTACCAACACATGGGACAGATTTGAACTGAGGATTCACAAGAGGGTGATAGACCTATTCAGCTCGCCCGACGTGGTCAAGCAGATCACTTCCATCACCATTGAACCCGGCGTCGAGGTTGAGGTCACCATTGCCGATTCTTAGACAAAGTCTCTTCCTCTTTTTTTTTTTTTTGCCCTCTTATTGCCGTCATCACCATTGTCTTGATTCTTGAAGAAAGTCTCTTCCCTTTTTGCCTCTTAGTTCCTCAAGATTCTGCCCTTTGTCTATTACGGCCTTAGTTCTTGTATTTTTCCACAGTTTGAGGAGTTTTTGTCAATCGTTTTTTTTTTTTTTTGGGTTTGGTCGGTTTTTGCCATCATCTTTCATGGACGCTCACAGCAAGAAACCCTAGTTATTAGTGGATGACTAATTGGGCCCAAGGCCCATAATCAAATGGGCCATAAAATATTTCTTAACGGCCAATTTTTTTTTAGGTTTGATTTTTTATTATAATTTATTAGTTTATAATCCTTCACAATGATTGCCATGGTTAATTTAATTACAGATTATTTTTACTTGATACAGTATTAATATGTAATTTACTCCCGACCAAATCAGAAAAGAATTTAACCTAATCATTATTATGACTGTTTCTTGTGTATGTGTATGTGGTTATGTTTTTACACTTTGTAACAAATTCTAATATTTTTTTTATATAAATCCATCCCTGTATAATGAAAATCCAAATTGGGTTTCATGTTTTTTTTTTAATTATGGCATAAACTCTCTTTGGAATAAAGGGTTAAAGATTCTCAATTTGCTTTTCACTAAAGTGATGAATCCTTAGGTGACACTCAAACTATAACCATTTTTACGCCACATTTCATTTTTTTCCCCCTAATATATTTAGATTTGGTTGTTATAATTTTAGTTTGGATAAAACCATTTCAATTTAGTTTGAAATGATGTCTTAAGATTCTTAACCACAATTATTTTACACCCTAATCATTAATTACTGATTCAAAAATGATTTTATTTAAATTTTTTACTTTTCATTGTCATCATGTGTTAATTAGATCCCGTAATTCTAGGCGAATCCCCGACACCAAAATTCACGAGATCTTTTTTTTTACCATTTTACTGTTCCTAGTCAACAACGAATAAAATATAGTATTATACATAGATCGAAACGGCGCCGTTTTGGAATTATATATCACGGGGATAATTAACCAAAACGACACCGTTGCGTTGCGTTTGGACGCGCATATAAAGCCATTCCTTCACGGGATGATCTTAACACCAGACCAAAAAAACTCCGACAGATGGCTCCAAACACAACCAGTAAATCTCCACCGTCGATCTCCATCATGATCATCGTCATCTTAGTCGAATCGACGGCTGCGATAGCCAGAGAATTACGACCGTCCGATCACGGCCTCGAGTACTACTACGGATCAGGCAAGTCTCCGGAGATGATGTCATTCTTCGGGACGTCGGCGTCGGCGATGACGTCATCGTCCGGTTCGACGTTGCCGAGTGCTGTGACGTCATCCTCTGATGATGACACGTGGCAGCGGAGGAGGATCCACGATGACGGCGATGGAGAGGGAAGGGATGATCACGTGATACGTCACGTGCTACTGGTGACTAGCTTGGTTTGCGGCTTCTCCGGCGCGGCTTTGTTAATTGCTTCTGCTTTCGTTTATTTCTTCGGCTTCAGAAACAGAACATCGTCTTTGTCGTGTAATAATAATAATAATAATAATAATAATAATAACATTAATACGGATATTATTACCAAGTAATGCAATGCAGATGTTTTTTTTTTGTTATCATTTTTCTTTTTTATAAATAAATAAAAACAAATAAAGGTGTTGTTGTGTATAAATTTTAAAATTTTGTTAGGATACTTTGTTTTTTTTTTTCATTTATTTCGGCCACTAATCATTTCTCCTTACTTGTATTGATGGGTAAAAATATTACTCAACAGTAAAAGATATTTTATTAATGTAGAACAGCTAAGCAATTGGTAAACTGATATTTTACAATATCTTTTTAAAAAGTGTGTGTATATATATATATTTGATTTCCGATTTATTAAAAATGTATTTGGTTCGAATCAACCTTGTTAACCTTTTTTTTATAAGAACTACTCAAAATTAGAGGTGGAATTTTCGATATTCGGTTCAGTTTTTTTGGTTCTATAAAATTATTATATTATATTCGTATTCAGTTCAGTTTTATTTTTTACTAAGAAAAAAAATTCTATTTTATTAAAAAAACTTGATTTTTTGAGATATTTTTAAATTTAATTTGGTTTTAAAAATTTTAGTTCTCTCACAAATACCATTCGAAAATCTTAGACGATTTTATCCGAGATAGTTTCGAATTTTTCGGTTCTATATGATTAAGTTTCAAAGAACCGTACCGAACCGTCGACCCCTATGTTTTTTTTATCATTGACGGTTCCATTAGATTAAATCGATTCGATTCCGAATTTCTATTCGGTTAAGTGTGGTTCGATCAAACCGGATCGGTCAATCGGGCAGGAGTGTTTCCACAGAGCTAGTGGACATGATCAGTTTACGGATCTTTCGGTCAGCACTTGACATGTGCCCGTAATCCACTGAGCCTCTCGTCGTCCACATGTACACAAAAAATATCGGATAATGTTTATATATATTTATACGTACGTACGTATACGTCACATGCCCTAATTAGTGTATTAATTACCGTTGACATCCTCGTTTTTTGTGCTAAATCCCGATATTAGTCTGTGTGATCTTGTAAAAAAGATTTTACCAATCGTGCCGTTTTTTAATAATGCTCGCTCTCGCACGAGAACCACCGGCGATAGAAAAACGGCAGGAAGTTTGATTCTGCTGGAGGAGGGCGCTCTGAAGTGTGTACCCAAGCTTCGAACAGGGGAAGAAAAGGAGAGGAATTTTACCGAAAAACGCAGAGATTCATCGATTTTTTTTTGGAGCGGAGGAGAGATTCCACAGATTAATCAGTGCGGATAAGTAGGAAATCAGGTAATTTTGAACTCTCCCACCTGATTTCGAGGCTCTAGCTTGGTCGATTTTGGCTTGTGGTGCATGCGTTTTCCCGGAAAATGTCGATTCTCTGATTTTTTTGTTCTGGGTTTCGGGTTTAGTTTGTTGGGCTGCGATTTTTCTGTTTGGATTCATAGAAAATGGCGGAAATTCAAGATTTTTCTGTAGCTTGGGTTTTATGGAACGAGAGATTATGGTTCCTTCATTTGGCATCCGTTTATGGAGTTTGACTGATTTCTCTAAATGTTTTTTTTACAGAGTTAGTTTTTTTGAGGTTGCAGATTCATCTGTTTCTAAATGTTCATGAATCATATGACATCTGCTAAATTTCTCTTATCGGTTTCTTCAGAGCTTCCGAATGTTTCATGTTCTGTGTTAGTGAAATTGTGCTTTCTCGGGCATATCCACGAGTGTGTGTTGGATCAGATCACACCTGTTCTGTCCCATGTCCCATCTTGTTGTGTTGCTCCTCAATCATGCGGCTTGTTATCAGTATATTCTCTTATTGTTTGTGTGAATGTACATACATATATGTATGTATATATAGGTAGCATGAAAGGTCATGAGAAGCAAGAACAGCCATTGATTCCTCCGGGAGGAAGTAGTTCGCAGTCAAGTGAAACAATCCCCGTCCACTCCGAGCCACTTCCTCACCTCGGGAGCTCACATGCCATTGCCATGGTAATATCAAACGTTTTTATCAGAACTAGCATCAATCAACTCGATCAATTTATCATCCTTCTTTTAATTACTGCCTTGAAGCCTGGTTTTCTATTGGAATGTGGCCAAAGTTACTGTAACCCTTTTTAACTTGGCATCCCTTTCACTGAGCTTGTTTGAGGTTCTCTCTGTATCAAGCCTTGAACTGTATCTACATGTGGATGGCATGGTTGCCATATCATGTCTATTGAGCTTCATACATGATCTGTGTTAGTTTTTGTCATGAAGTTCTGGTATCACTGAATAATGTTTATCCTCTGCCTTGGGATCAGATACTATCAGATTAGTTTGTTCTTCTTTTGTGACTGTTTCATTTGATGGAAAGAGCCGATTAAGTTTGAGCTCTGAAAAATTTCCGTTGCCTCTTTCCCGTGATCTTCGTTGAAGGCACCCGGGGCTTACCCTTATCCAGATCCCTATTGCAGAAGCATCTTTGCGCCAAATTGTGACACACAAGCCTATCCTCCACAGCCATATCCCGGGGTACGTTATTTACTTAGCTCGGCATCCCAATTTCTGAACTTTAGATAATAATATTATCGATGAACCCATCATGATTTCTTTAGCGATTCTGCTCTTTCAGTTCCACCTCCAGTTAATGGGAATCCAGCAGCACGTAATGCCATTGCCATCTCACACGGTAGAGGAACCCGTCTTTGTTAACGCGAAGCAATACCACGGGATACTGAGACGCAGGCAATCCCGGGCAAAACTTGTGTCCCAGAATAAGATGATCAAGCCACAGAAGGTAACTTCCCGGTTCTGTTTCTCTTCAAGAACCATACTTTTTTATATGAATGGTCCATATCTTAACACAAAAACGGATCTTTCCCAATGCGTTTTTCAAGCCATACTTGCACGAATCTCGGCATCTTCACGCGTTGAGGCGGCCAAGGGGATGCGGTGGCCGGTTTCTCAACTCCAAGAAGAACGACGACAACGAGCAGAAGGAGGTTCCGTCGAACGAGAACACTCCAGAAGGGAATGCCAACGGCAGCATCAGCTCCGATAGCCCTGCCACGGCGGCTCCTCCTCCTCCTAATGGTACATCTTGAGATGTTTTCCGTTCTATACAGCCTTAGTGCCAGTTAGCTCTCTATCAGATCATCCTCTTAGTGTAAAATGTATCCACACTCTTTGTAGACTGTATAGAATCTTCTGAGCAATTAGGTAACCTGCAGTGGCTTAAGAGAGAGAGAGAGAGAGAGAGAGGGAGAATAAATCTGAAGTGGTGAATGAACTGTTGCTTTAGAACCATTATGCCATTGTTGTTTCCATGTTAGATTGCTGCATTGTAGCAAAATCTAGTGCTTCAGACAGAACTTGGTAGGAATATACTATATTTTTTGAACCGCCATGACTTCCGTCATAATCCGCCATGGCGTCCGGCATATATTGACGCCGTGGACCGCCATACGCAATTGATAACATTCTTGAATGATGAGAATAATACTATCGGTTGGACAATTAAATTCATGTAAGTATGTGGGATGGCCACGGCCACGGTTAGTATAAATGCATAATGGTTAGTGAAATAATGGGTATTAGTATATTTGCCTTAAAAACCCACAAAAAAAAAAATAATAGGGAAGAGATTCTGGTTTGATTAATGATGATAATCATAAATTGAAATAACAAAAAAAAAATTGGTAGATTATATTGAATACAATTGCTTATTAAAGCGCATTTTCAAAGATTAGAAAAGATAATTCCAGTTGATTCACAAAAAACCATTAATATCTAACTGTAATCTAATTTAGTTTCATCTAAATCCATTTAAGCATAGGTTTTGTACCAAATTAATTGAATTGAATCAAGTATAAAATTAACTAAAAAATAAATTCAAAATATTTTTTAATAAGACTAAAATTCTATTGAATCAGAAATAAATATATATTTTTTACAATCAAATTTAAATACCACAATAATGGATCCAAAATCAGATTAAATATTATAAGCTGCCCATACAAGAAACGGATAGAGTATTTATAAAAGAAATAGAATGAAAAAGGAAATAAACAACTTATTAAAAAAAAAAAGACTTTGTAAGGATTTGACATGTAAATGTCAGAGGAATATATTGTTGGGCCAATATAAAAATTTTCAATGGATTTTGATCATATTTCAATAATCTATATGGTCAGATTATTTTTTTCTTTTCATAGGATATTCGTTTTCTTTTTTTTTTTTGTTTCTTTATTTCTCATCCAACAGAATCATTTCATTTTCAGACAAGTGATATTCGTTAAGTCATGTTTTGTTTTCTTGTGCTTTTTTATTTTTAAAATAATAATTATTATTATTATAAAAAAATAACTTCCTTAAAAGAATCGCTTTGATTTTCAGACAGCTTCTGAGTGAAGTTGGGTTGGTTGGCTCACTTGGCTTCATTTCATGCCACTTGTAAATTCCTAATAAATTAATAAAATATCAGAGACTAAAATAAAAACATATATCATGCATTTGTGAAATCATATTATCTCTGATTATTACCAAATTTCAAATAAATATATAGACAGGCAAACACATGCAAGCATTAGAACTTTGAATATTAAATCATATAATCATATAATCATGTCATGGTCAAATTAAGGGGGTTGTGTTGTATCCCAATAATTTTGAAATGGACATAAATATTTTGTTCATAAAAGACACACACACACACATATACATATATATGTATTGGGTGCTGCTGCATTTTGACATGATTCCATCCCAAAAAAGAGAATCATTTAAAGTTACATTATGGGTTAGGTCATATTTGTGTGTATATGTTAATGTATGGGTGTCTATAAACACACACACACACATATATATATATGGATATATATAGGTGTGGATATATATACACACACATATATATATATAAATCAATCATCCGGAATGATTGCAGAGAAGGTTTATGAACTTTTTTTTATTGGAAATGAGACCAATTTTGTATGCTTTTGATGCATTTGGAGTGGGATTTTATTATGATATCAAAGTCATATTCCTATCACCCCTCCTATATATATATTCCATTAGGGCACACCTCCCCTTCCTTCACCAATCTTTCACCATTATCTTTGTCGGCTTATTTTCACATTTTATGTCTCCACTCCTTCTTTCCTCTTCTATAAGTTTTGCCGTACATATGACCACAAAAAAAAAACATATTTACTATAAAGTTTATTATAAAATGACATACTATATATATATATATATGAAGGGCATATCTATGTATAATAACAGAAGTTGTGAAAACAAAGATCGATTTTTACGATCACTGATTTACGAGTTCTAATATAATTATCGGTAACCTAGAATCGAATAAGAGAATATATATATATATATATATATATATATTCCAATATAAAAGAAGAAAACCGACCAAAATTTGGGTGGTGATGTCATATCGACGTATGCAGCGGCAGATGTGGGAATCATGTTCAGATGATCTTCCATAAGCTCGGTCGTTAGACTTGTGGCGAGTGAAATTCACAAACGTTAATGCCACTCATAATTATGGCTAAGTTGATATTATAAAGAATGTATATATATATATTACTCCGATGTATGAACTCATTAATTCCATGATTATTATCGCATATTCAAATATCTGTATATATATATATATATGTGTGTGTGTGTGTGTGTATGCATGAGCAACCTATCAAACTTGGAGCCTTGCTCTCTATCCATGCCTAACTTTACACCTCTATCATGCCCATGCATGGGTCCCTCTCTCCACCTCTCTCTCTCTCTCTCTCTCTCTCTCTCTCTCTCTCTCTCTCTCTCTCTCTCTCTCTATCGACATGTCTCTCTCTCCCAACACAATGGCACGAGAGAAAGAGGGAGAGATGTGAGATTGAAGCAAAGCAAAATGGCAGACTGAGAGAAAAGGGGAAGTGTTCTTTTTATTTGACTTATATATATATATATATATATAGAGAGAGAGAGAGAGATCTAGAGAGAGAGAGAGATTTTATGCACTCATGCCCTTAGCCCTAAACGTACATGTGAAATGCTTCCACTGATTATGATCAGAGCTATATATCTTGATTGCTTAACATAATTCTTGTCTCGTTTTTTTTTTCCATTTAGGGTTTAAGCCCATGTTTTATTAATGGGAAAACATTATATTAAAGTTGAATAATTACTATTACGAGCTAATTATGCAATATAAGCCTTGCGATCTGCATTTGATTATACTCCATCCGAGCTTTCCATGTGTAGGTGTCGTTGGACAAAATTTATAATCCGGAGAAATTATAATTAAATCCATATATAATGAATGTATTTGATCTAAATTTGTAAATTATCATTAGATATCATGATCATGACCAACAAAACGGATGCTTGTACAAGTTTAATAACTAATCACCACAATGTCAATCACTTTATTATAAGTTTTATTTTGTATTTATGTAAGTAAGATAGAGGTCAGTACAGAGCGGATACCCGAAAAAATTGTAATATTTGGATTTGTATTTGAGAAACTCTAGTATCTCGTTTTAAGATTTTGTATTCGGATTCGAGGTTACATATATTTTATAAAAATATTGTAAAGATGAAGAGTATAATTATTTATAACAAAATTAGTCGGTTTGCGGATATCCGTTTTATGAAATTCTATTACCTGGATTTGAATTCGGATTCGTGAATATTCATAGATTCAGATTTGAATGGACACGGATACCCTAAAATTAAGTGTTCGTGAATATCCGATTTTCAGATATTTTTGACCGGCCTCGGTAGAGGAAGAGTTTAGTTTAATTAGTACTTATACATGCACGTTCGCACACAAGCACACCATTCTCAGAAGGTAATCAAATATTGCAACTAATACAAAATTAACGTAATCAAATATAATATAAAGTTACATGTGAGATCAATTTAGGGATTCAATATGGAGCTTGTAAAGTAGGACCGACGGTAGAAAAATACAATCACAATATATATATACACATATATATATATATATGTATTTGTATAGATTTTGCAAAATCAAGCAATGTGACATGGGAACAAGCCTAAGTGGACCTGCCCCAATGGTGGGGCACTCTTCAAAAAAGAAAAAGTTGGCAAATAATGTGTATATGTATATATATATATATATATACACGCACAAATTGTATGTACTGATAGATGCGAGACCATGTACAAATGTGTACAGAAGAATCAATTGTTACTAATAAGTATGATATCATTGATCTTGATCTTAAAAGCTAGGTTTAATTTGCTTATATCCGAAAAATGATTATCTTGAAAATATTAATGTGACTGTTTTTTTTTTGTCGCCACGAAAACAATTTCCAATTTTTCAACCGTTAATTTACACGAGTTAATACATTAGAGAACATCATATATGCTTTTAGATATTAATTAAAGTGAATATATTATAATTTTCTATTTAATGGCTAACTAAACTCAAATATATATGTAAATAATTATCCTATAAATTCAAATAATTTCTAACTCATTTGAAATTTATGTCAAAACACCCAACTTTCTTATAATCTTATAAACTCAATCATCTAATAAAACTATATGTATGCTGCATGCATGTATGATAAAAACATATGTATATATTTATAATGCCATTGTATAATGCATGTGTATATATAGTTAGCATATATATATATATATATATATATATATAAGCATAGAGGAAGGTGATTATGATGTTGGAGAAAAAGCATTATTGACTTTGAGATAAAAAGGTTTGACATTGTTTTTTAGACAAACTTGTCTTTTTTTTATAATACTGTATTTCTTATCTACAAAGCATCCAAAGCCTTTTCACAAAAAAAAGAAAAAAAGAAACAGATAACCTTCTTTATCATTCGGAGGCTTTGACCCAAGTGTGGCACTTATAAGAGCAGTTTCATCAATGTGTGCATATAAATACAGTGATAAATAATAGAGGATAAATTAGTGTATTGGAATTAATTAATTCTTATTGTGAAATATATAGCTCTTTGTTATTCACTTGCGTTATTAATCATGATATAATTTTTGAGTTATATTGTGATTCGGTTTGTCTTTTTTTTTTGTTTTATAAAATTAATTTATACTCGTTCGAAATTATTTGATTTGGACTTTATAAGAATTCTTTTTCAATTTAGTTTTTATTAAGAAATATTCATTGTAAAGAATTTTCATTTTTATTATGTTTGATTTTAGAAAGTTATATATTGGGATTAAGATTATATGTTATTCGTTTCCACCCAATTCGATTCAGACTACATCTATCTAAACATTGTATAATGCATGCGTATTATCTAGATGGAGTAAAACTATAATAAAAATTTATGATATTGTAAATGGTGGAAAATAAATTATTAAACTTTTTATTTAACAAAATTATTTTTAAACTTGTAAATGTTATTTTAATTTATAAATATAAAATATGTTATTATAGTTTTCAAACTAATTTATGGATAAACATCGTCGAGATTTATTCTAACACGAATTAACAAGTTTGATAATTATAATGACATATATTTTAAAAGTTTGAGAATAAATTTATTAAACGAAAAATTCAAAAAATTATTTTGCATTATTTTACAAAGTAAAGAATTTTTATAGATTTTACCCTATTATCTATGTGCTGAGTCATAGCTAATAACCCACATTAATATATACTCGCATATATATATATATATATATATATATATCATGAAGAAGATTCAAATCCTTGATTACCATAAATGGATCTCCTTCCCAACTTGCCAAATCGCATTGCGACTCAAATCTAAGCGTGTACATACATACATATATACATACATACATACATACATACATACATACATACATACATACATACATACATACATACATACATACATACATACATACATACATACATACATACATACATACATACATACATACATACATACATACATACATACATACACATTTCTAGTGATAACCAAATCGTATTTGTTGGTATATATATATAACAATTTAAAATATAATCCGTTCAGTATATATTTTAATACTGTTGTCGTTTCATAAGATCAAAGCCCCGAGAAAACTGATTTAAATCGTTGGAGCATGTTTGTCGTGGCGCATATATGCTATCATTGCATGTTTAGCAGGAAAGATCTTCTGTCGGGCCTCTTCATCAATACTCATATATATATATATATATACACATATATACATATATATATATATGCACGCATAGAGACATATATGTACGTGTGTATCATCATTTTCCACAAAATAATCAGACTTTTGTAAGTTTTTGCATGTACCGTACGTGTATATATATGTACAATTGTTTATGTAAACCTATGGTATATGTATATATATATATTATATATATGTATGCACACATAGAGACATATATGTACGTGTGTATCATAATATTTTTTTTTGGTAAAATGCATCATAATATTTCCCACAAAATAATCAGAATTTTATGAGCTTTGTTATGCACCGTACGTGTACATATACATGTACAATTGTTTATATAAACCTATGCATTGTATAAGTGTGTATATATATGTGTATATATGCACACATAGACATATATGTATGTGTGTATCATAATTTTCCACAAAATAATCAGACTTTTGTAAGTTTTTGCATGTACCATATATATATATACACACAAACAATTGTCTGCGTATGTATGTAAACGATGGTATATGTATTAGAAAGACTCAAAAGAACTAGGGTTTTTAATGGCGCGAGGGGCTATCACAATTATACTTTTTATTTAATATAATAATTTATGAAAAGGATAGAGAACAAAAAAGCAATGGTTGTCTTCGATAAAGCAAAATAACAATAACAATAATAATAATAATAAAATTATGATAAAAGAATAAAAACGTTATATACGAAATACGGGTCTACGTGGGTCTATCTGCCATGTAGAAAATCGAAGCGCATGCACAAAGTTGAAGTCATGATTAGACGTCACATGACCAAATTCAATTTTTATTTTTTATTTTTGTAAGAAGTTAAGAACACACCCAGATATTATATTATACTATATATATATATATATGTATATACACTTTTTTTTTTTACAAAAAAAGGCTGCCATGAATTTTTATTCAAAAATATTATTAATTTATTTACACTTTGCCGGGCATGCACAACAGCACAAAGACGATGCACCCAATCCGAACCCTTGTTCACTACACACACAAACAGACATATATATATATATATATACATACATACATATATATATATATTCTTTAGAATTTAAAACTAATTTTTTCATGGTAAATATTTAAAATTTAGAAAAAATTATCCCAACCCTCCTCGAATTTTTTATTTCGTTTTCTTGTCTGATATATATAAATATTCTTTAGTGATACACTTTTTTTAGTTTCTGTCATTACATACAAATGTCAATGTGTGAGGTTTCGAACTCGTAATTACTCATATAATTAAGAGCTCCGATAATAGATAATTTGAATATTTCAGAAATAAATAATAGGGCAATGGTCTATTTTGAATTTATTTATATACAAAATAAATGGCATTCAACATTACATTTTAGTCTAAAAAAAATGTAACATGTTTGGATTTTGCATTATGTTTGCAAGTACCAAACAATAAAAAAAAAAGAAATATTTATTTACCCTTTTGTAACCAAACCAATATCCAACGGTCATAAAAAAAAGGAGCAAAAACAGGAAAAATAAAATAAAATTGTAACCGAACACATCCTTTGCAATTCGCAGACACAAGTGTTCACGCTTCTCACGCGCATACATACATACATACATACATACATACATACATACATACATACATACATACATACATACATACATACATACATACATACATACATACATACATACATACATACATACATACATACATACATACATACATACATACATACATACATACATACATACATACATACATACATACATACATACATACATGCATCATCCTACGTACGTACATTTTGTACATATACATACGCATGCAACATCATAACAGAAACCCCACCATTATGGACATGCCCATGCATCATCATCGTCATCGTCATCGTCATCATCATCAAAATATTAGAGAGGAGAGAGAGAGAGAGAAATTGATGTTCTCTCTCTGCCATTTTCCAGTGGTAAAGACAACAGCTTTTTTTTTTTCAAAATTTTTTTCCTATCAAAATTATAATATCGTAAAAAAAAATCCGTTCTTCTGACAAAAAAATTTAAACGACTAACCAAAGATTGGTTCATTTAGTTTTTATTTATTTTTTTTATGTTTATTTTCTTGGAAGACAGTAAAAAAAAAATATGGACATAGGTAAGGGTGTTATCCTGATTCTATATATAAATGAAATGACAAGTCGATTAAATTCAAAATTAACAGTATTAAAATTTAATGAAATTTTTTTAAAAATCGAATAGTTTTTAAAATATAAAATATAAAAGTTCAGAAATTGAAGGAAAATAATGGTAAAAACTAATCAAACTTAAATATAAAAAGGACACATTTATATTTGTTGAAATACGTATAATTTTTTTAAATTTTTTTTAAGGAGATATAATGATAATAAAAATGGGAAAATTGGTTTTAGATTATTCATACTCTCATTCCATTCCATTCTTCACAAATATAATATGTTTTTTTCATTACGAAAATAATTAATATTTACACTTACCGACAAGGGTGGATTTTGTTGTGGAGAGAACAATATATGACCATTCATTAGTTTCCCGTTAAGCTTTGAATACACTCAAATTTTTTTTTAAATATAAATATTTTTATCTATTTTTTCTAAATTTAATTCAAGTTCTATTAAAATTTGGTTGGTCTTATTTAAATATTTTTTTAAATATTGCCGCAGCTAAAACCCCAAATCGCAAACACTTGAAGGATTTGTACATTATAATTTATATCTGAATTTTTTTTATAAAAAAAAAACAAAGCTTTAAAGTTTCAGACCACCTGGCGTTTCGATTTTCACACTTTTAATTTGTGTTTTTTCTTCTTCTTCTCGGTTTGCTTTGCTTTTTTGTTGTTGTGTTCTTGCTTGTCGTCTCTCTAGGAGAAAAAAAAAGTTTTTTTTTCACTATTTCAGTTTATTTTTTTGTTGTTTTCTCTCATAAAAGAATCTCGAGATTGGCGTCTGAGACAAAGACCTCTCTCCCCCTCTCTACTTTGCTTCTTTAAAGCTTCCCCTCTCTTATATCTCCTCCCTCTCTTCCTCGCCATTGTTGTGCTCTTTCAGTTGAGGAACAGAGAGAAAAAAACGAAGGAACACGGGAAAGTCTCGAGCTTTTTTTTTTTTTTTTTTACAACTTTCCCCTCCACCTTTAGCTCATGAAGTTGAGAGGAGGCTCTCTCCACCCAGAGAGCCTACCCATGACAAAAACCCAGCAACGGCATTAAATCTTTTCAATCCAAAAGCCAGACCGGATCCTCGGAGTTTTCGAAAATCAGGCCATACCCATCTGTGTTTTGAGGCCGATAATCCATCTCTGTCGAGTTTTTTCCCCGAAAGGAGTGATTTTTTTCCTTCCCCTGTTCTGTCCCTTTGACTGGAGCTATGATGGCGCACGCGATGAACAGAGAGTCTCCTGACAAAGGAATGGACTCGAGCAAATACGTGAGGTACACACCGGAGCAGGTGGAAGCGCTCGAGAGAGTTTACGCCGAGTGTCCGAAGCCGAGCTCTCTCCGAAGACAGCAGCTCATACGAGAATGCCCGATTCTCTCTAACATCGAGCCCAAACAGATCAAAGTTTGGTTCCAGAACCGCAGGTGAGGAGGAGAAAAAACGATGAACTCTGAATCACTCCGTCTCAATCTTCATTACTTTCCTCTTTTTTTTTTGGCGACCCAGATTGTTTTTCGTTGTTATTCGAAGGACAAATCTGCAGATTTCCTATTGATTGTCCATTGAAGACAAAATTGTTCCTTCAAGTTCTTCTGCTGTGTTTTGTTTGTTATTAGCAGGAAATGTTACTGTTTTTTTTCTTTGTTCGGTAAAATTTCTGTTCTTTCTGATAATATTCCCTCTGACAATGTTTTGGTATTTCTGTCTCTTTTTCTTCTTGGTTTGGATCTTAAAAGATCATCATTTCGGCTTTAAAATTTCCCAGATCCATTCCCTTGATCGCCAAAGCTACAGAATCAGAAAATTTTCTTTTGCTTACGCTTTGAAACAGTTGAAAGTGAAATACGGTGGCAGTGGAATCTAATCAAACTGTCTTTTGATGGGATTCCGCGATTTCTTTTCGCCTTAAAGTCTAAAATTTCTGCATCTTTTTGTTTTTCTGTCATTTGGGGAAATATATTGCTAATGCAAAAGATTCTCTTTTCACTGTCCCACTCTCGTCCACACATCATATTCATATGCGTAAATCTTGATCTTGAAGGGCGTATATACGTAACATGTGGGATACATGTGCTCATATTCATGGTGGCTTGTTCTGATAAAGGAAGTTTGTTTTTTTTTTGTAAATGCCATAGATGTCGAGAGAAGCAGAGGAAAGAAGCTGCCCGTCTTCAGACAGTGAACAGAAAGCTCACTGCCATGAACAAGCTGTTGATGGAGGAGAACGACCGGCTGCAGAAACAGGTCTCCCAGTTGGTCTACGAGAATGGCTACATGAAAAACCAAATCCACACTGTAAGTTTTGGATCTTCAGACACGTTTCAACAGAATTTAATCGGCTTCTTTGATGTAATTTCTTCATGGGTCATCTTGTTTTTGACTTTCTGTGCTAAAGTTCGTACCTTTTTTAAAGCTTTTTTCATTCTTCTTGCTTGTAATGAAACTGTCCAAGACTCTAAAAGAGGGAATGGATATATGTGTGTAGGGTTCTGGTACGACCACAGACAACAGCTGTGAGTCTGTGGTCGTAAGTGGACAGCAACATCAACAGCAAAACCCAACTCCTCAGCACCCTCAAAGGGATGCTAATAACCCAGCTGGGTAATTCCCCCTCTAATCTATCTGTCCAGACTATGTTTTGGTTCTCGTCTGTTTTCTCAGTTTTGTAAGTAATGAAAACTTGTGTTTTTGTTGTGTTTTAGTCTTCTCTCCATTGCAGAGGAGACCCTGGCAGAGTTCCTCTCCAAGGCTACGGGAACTGCTGTCGACTGGGTTCAGATGATTGGGATGAAGGTAAATCTGAAAAGATCTCGTTTTTTGGAAAAGATCTCAGATTTTGTGAGAAAGATCTCATTTTTTTGTGTGTGTGTTGAATGTGTGTTAGCCTGGTCCGGATTCTATTGGCATTGTCGCCGTTTCACGCAACTGCAGTGGAATAGCAGCGCGTGCCTGCGGCCTCGTGAGTCTTGAGCCCATGAAGGTACAATGTTTGTTTTCGTTATTCTTTTCTTGTTGATTCAAGCGTCGGAAAAACGGTTTTAGTTCAATGCGGGTTTTATTCTTTGTAGGTTGCTGAAATCCTCAAAGATCGTCCATCTTGGTTCCGTGATTGCCGATGCGTCGATACTCTGAGTGTGATTCCCACCGGGAATGGTGGCACTATCGAGCTTGTTTACATGCAGGTTTGTCTCATCTCACCACCTCTATCTACCCTTTCCATAATGTTTTCAAACGCTTGATTATGATTTTTGTTTCAGACATATGCTCCGACAACCTTAGCAGCTGCTCGTGACTTCTGGACGCTGAGATATACTACAAGCTTAGATGATGGAAGCTTTGTGGTGAGTTCAATGATATGTTTTTTCTGCAATTGCCTGTCTCCATGTCTTCGTATCATGTTTGTTAATCTCATTTTTCTTCAGGTTTGTGAGAGGTCACTCACTTCTGTAACTGGTGGCCCGACCGGGCCACATCCTTCGAGCTTTGTGAGAGCCGAAATGATGTCTAGTGGGTTTCTCATCCGTCCATGCGAAGGCGGTGGTTCCATTCTCCACATCGTTGATCATGTCGATATGGATGTAAGTTTTGATAGTTTTCGACGGATCAAAATCAATAATTCTCGCTATAACTTTCACCCAGATTGCAAGTATGTGACTGCTGTTTCATTGGCTTGTGCCAGGCTTGGAGTGTTCCTGAAGTCTTGAGGCCTCTGTACGAATCCTCGAAGATTCTCGCTCAGAAAATGACCGTTGCTGTAAGTTCAGACAGTAATTTTGTAAAGAAGTTTGAATCTTGTCGGTGTTTGTTGTAATTTTGTTCCGTTTACAGGCCTTGAGGCATGTCAGACAAATCGCTCAGGAGACTAGTGGAGAAGTTCAGTATGGCGGGGGACGCCAACCTGCGGTTTTAAGGACTTTCAGTCAAAGACTTAGCCGGTAAATCTCTGTGCAATTCATGTCTCAGTAACCGTAAAGAATGTTTTTCCTTGTTGCTAAATCGTTTTCGGCAACTTTTCAGGGGTTTCAATGATGCTGTTAATGGATTTGCTGATGATGGATGGTCGCCGATGGGTAGTGACGGTGCTGAAGATGTTACAATCATGATAAACTCATCTCCGGGAAAGTATGTCAGTTCTCAGTTCGGTAGTGCCTTTCTCCCGAGCTTTAGTGGTGGCGTTCTTTGTGCCAAGGCATCTATGCTGTTGCAGGTATATAACGTCATTCTAATGTTTGTCCAAATGTTACGTCTTCTTCATCTTCTAACTCTGTCACTATTGGATTGTGTCTCTTTCCTAGAATGTCCCACCGGCTGTGCTGGTCCGGTTCGTGAGAGAACACCGGTCTGAATGGGCCGACTATGGTGTGGATGCTTACTCTTCTGCCTGTCTCCGGACAAACCCTTTTGCTGTTCCATGCGCTAGAGCTGGTGGTTTCCCGAGTAGCCAAGTCATTCTTCCTCTGGCTCAGACCATTGAACATGAGGAGGTAAAGAAACTCGATATGCTCTTTTAGCCGACGACTGTATCTGCAATTTGAGCAGAAGAAGGGCTTAAGATTATTTTGTCTTGGTTTCAGTTTCTTGAAGTTGTTAGGCTTGAAGGCCACGCATTTTCGCCCGAAGACATGGGTTTGGCTCGAGACATGTACTTACTGCAGGTTCGTTTACTGGTTTATACGCTTAAATCTTTCTCGGTATCTCTGTTTGGCTTTCTTGATGACTCTGTTGTTTCTCGGTTTTTGCTTATACAGCTTTGCAGTGGCGTCGAAGAAACTGCAGTTGGAGGTTGTGCCCAACTCGTCTTTGCTCCTATCGACGAGTCATTTGCTGATGATGCACCATTGCTCCCTTCTGGTTTCCGGGTCATACCACTCGAGCACAAAACAATTCCGGTAACGAGAAAAACACCATCAGAGCTCTGTAAATATCGATGAAATCGGATACCCTCATGTAGTGTATTCTACTTGATTTGTCATCACAGAACGGTTCATCTGCATCAAGGACTCTGGATTTAGCCTCGGCCCTCGAAGGTCCCAGCCGAGCAACTGGTGAAGCTGACCCGAATGGCTACAATCACAGGTCGGTACTAACCATCGCCTTCCAGTTCACGTTTGACAGCCATTCGAGGGACAATGTTGCTGCCATGGCTCGCCCATACGTGAGGGGCATCGTGGGTTCGATCCAGAGGGTTGCCCTTGCAATCGCTCCCCGTCTAGGCTCGAGCCTCGGCCCGTTGCCCCTGCCCACTTCCCCCGAGGCCCTCACTCTCGTCCGTTGGATCTCCCGAAGCTACAGGTAATAAATACCCCAATTCTGTATAATTTATTACCACTCTGTATAATAATATATATATATATCCTGTCTTGTTATAGAATCCACACTGGTGCGGACCTTTTCTGCACTGATTCACAGTCCGGTGACGTGCTGCTGAAGCAACTATGGGGCCATTCTGATTCAATCTTGTGCTGTTCGCTGAAAACCAACGTAAAGATTCTATCTTTTTTCTGGGTTTGAATCCATTCAGACAGTACGATTCATGGAAAATCCTGTTCTTGCAGGCTTCACCAGTTTTCACGTTTGCCAACCAAGCTGGTCTGGACATGCTTGAAACCACGCTCGTGGCGCTCCAGGACATAATGCTGGACAAGACACTCGATGAATCCGGTCGGAAAGCTCTTTGCTCCGAGTTCGCCAAGATCATGCAGCAGGTGAAATATAGTTTCCCAGTTTTCCCGGAATGTCGGTGTCGTTTTCCCGGAAAGTTAACAGTGTCTTTTTCCTCAGGGCTACGCTCATCTTCCGGCGGGAATCTGCTCGTCGAGCATGGGGAGACCGGTCTCGTATGATCAAGCCACTGTCTGGAAGGTCGTGGACGACGATGAATCGAACCATTGCTTGGCTTTCATGTTCGTGAATTGGTCGTTCGTGTGAAGAAAACGGCCATGGAGTTGACGGGGTTAATTATGTAAGATAATGAAGTTAGGGTATCTTTATGCTTAAGCTACTTAAAATGGAGGACTAATATGTAATAATTAGTGACTTCTTTTGACATTATGCTATGCAGTACTTATGTTCTTGTTATAAAATCCTTTTGGCTTGAATTTTATTTACAGCTTGTATACATGTATATATATATATATCTATTTATTATATTTAATATACTTAATTACTAAATATAATTATCTAATTTATTTGTAATATTATTTTATTCACCATCTTACTAACAGAAAGTGCTATTTATATATGGCAATACCGTACACTAAAAATAAAATACCAAGTACTCTCTCCCTTATTTGATATATTTTTTAAATTTTTTCACAATTTTATAGAAATTATAGAAAAAAACAGTAATACATATATTCATTAAAACACATTTAAATTAATAAATTGATATATTCAATTAAAGGGAAAATTATGAATTTTCTTAATAAATCATCTAAAAAATTTTAAAACAACAAAAAATATTTTCTAAAATGACATTTTTTCTGCATTGCATTTCTTTGAACTTGTGTGATAGTTGTATGACTAAATATCATATTAATTGCCATATATATATATATATATAAATAAGCAAAATATATAATGCTTCCATTTTTTGTGTATTTAATAATATACACATATATGTATATATATATATATATATAGGGGTATTAAATGATGGATTTGATTGGAGTGGTGAAGTAGGGTAGTGGCTCATAGCACTGTAAATGTAATCAAAGACTGGATTTCAATGAATCTTCTCAATAAATAATTTACATTCACACCATCATCATCATTATTGTTTATTTATTTCATTTATTTATTTTTTTATTTTTTTTATCTTGTAAAAATTGAAATCCGTATCTTTCGAATGATAAATTATATAATGATGATGTTCCTCTTTCGTCTTAGACATACAGAGAGAGGAGACCTATGCCCCAATTTAATGACAAAATGTTTTTAATATATATATATATATATATATATATATATATTTTTGCCGCAAGAGGGAAATTAAAAGTAGTAGTAATAATATACTATTAATTTTTTATAGTATGCTATTTATTTTAATTTTGTCATCATCTGTTTTATGGAACATGGTAATTTTTATAGTATGCTATCTTTTTTATCTATTAGTGGGAGGAAAACCCTTTTTTGGAAATGAAATAGATTTTCTAACTATATCAAAGATTTTTTTTTGTTATATGTACTAATTACGAATTCGACATATATATATATATGTCGAATTATACGGTATTTCCAACAACATTGTTTTTTAGATTGAATTATGTGTTAAAGTTTCGATAGATGCAAAAATAATTTAAGTATATACATATATATATATACTCAATATATTAAAGGGTATTATATTGTGAAATTGAAATTCACCAAGGAAATTAAAATAGACATGTTTGGTAACAATACCGAGAAATAAGAAGCATAGAATTTATATTATTATCTAATATCGGGTGACTCAATTGGTATCGGATGAAAAAAAATATTTCTTAACTGACATTCAAATCTTCTATTTGAAAAGAGATATTCACATAAAAATTTTCGAATTTTCTAAAAAATATAGTTAGACCAAAAATTCGATAAATTTACGGATCGTAACAAAATAAATTTATATTGTTACTTAACTCCATTACTATGGGCTGAATCTGTGGGTATAATTTATATAATATTGTTAATTGGTAAAATTAATTAAACGGACAAAAAAATTAATAACAAAGAAAGGAAAAAAATAAGAGAGGGTAAATAAATGAAAAGCCAAAAGAATCGCTGAGGAAAGGGCGAAGAAAGACAGTTTGATTCTGTCTTCGCCACAGATTTCTTCTGTGTCCGTAAGAAAAGTCCCTTACCCGAATCTGCATGCTTAGTCAACATTGCTGACGTCATTTATCAGAGTATTTTTCAAATAATCAAAAACTAAATTATAAAATATCAAAAATAAAAAATATTATTTTAAATTATCAATATATATATACACACATATACAATTAATACTAATTTTATATAACTAATGTAAATAATCAAATGGTAATGAATGATATAACTCCATGTTTATTTATCTACGTCCATCCAAAGATACATATAGATATATATATTTGGTTAACTATTACAAAGAATCTACCAATACCCAAATAATCACATACATCTTACATCATACTTGCATGCATGGACATCATAAATGCATGCATACATACATACATCACGCATGCGTATCCACATACATCCATTGGAAAGTAGTGATTTTGGGACATACAACATACATATATACATACATACATACATACATACATACATACATACATACATACATACATACATACATATTCACATCCATCCATTAGAAAGTAGTGATTTTGAGGCATGTTGCATGCATGTATGCATGCATGTATACATACTTGTGTTATCATCATGTGATGTGGGCTATACTTATTGAAACATGTGCGTATGTGTCGATATGTATTGTCTTCATGTGGGCTATACGTATAGGTTTCTGGTGGCTAAGTTTTAGTGCCTCAGTGCCTCCTAGCAGTAGCTTTATTAAATTGAGTAGCGTTTTCCTTTTTCGCATTTGAACTACGCGGCGTTTTTTCCTCAAAAGCTGATTGTGGAAATCGCAGGGGTTTTTTCGAGCCTCGAGCTCTTTTGCTCTTTTTGGTTCTTTAATTTTTACGGCTCTCGAGTAACAAAAAACGACACGCATTTAATACGGTCTTTACGTGTTTGTCTTATAACCGTCATGAGTACATATAATTACTCTTTTTTTTTTAAATAATATTAACTCTTTTTTATGTTAGAAAAATTAATGACATAATTTTATGTACAAATAAAATAACCTGGACAGAAAATTAAAAAAAAAGACAAAAAGATAAGGAAATAAAAAAGGTAAATTCCATAAAAAAAATTTAAACTTGTAAAATCACTTTTCGCTTAACAAATTTATTTAAAAACTTGCAAATTTTTTTTATTATAATGACAAATTTATAATCGACGATATCGATCTTTGATCGGTTTAAAAAATATAATGATATATTTTTTAAGTTTGAGAATTATAATGATATATTTTTTAAGTTTGAGAATAAATTTGTCAAAAGGAAAATCTAAAGAATTATTTTTCACTATTTTACAAGTTTAGAAATTTTTATGGTTTTAACCAAATAAAAAAAAATCATATACATATAAAAATAATATTTAGATTCAGATCAAAGTTACCACTTACCGCTACCCAACGGTCGAGGAAAAAAAAGGAGTTTTACCATTGTATAAATATAAAGATAAAAAACAGAAACTTTATAATCAGTGTTGTAGTTTGATTTTTTTTATAAAGAAATTAGAGAATATAATAAATTATATTTTTGGGTTGTCTTCTGTTCTTCCATTACAGAGAAAAAATTTATTATCACTGTTACGTATAGCTTTTCAATGTAAATAATTTTGTTTCATTGGTAAAAAAATGGATGCCAATAAATTAGGAATAGTACGTTAGAAGGGGTGGTCTATCACACATTGAATATAAATAAAATTAAATTGTATATAGATATTTGATTTAAAATTGATTAATTAATATATTTTTAAATTAAATTTAAAAATTTAAAACAAATAAAAATAATACTTTTTTACTAAAAATATATATCGAATGAATCCCGATAAATGAAATTTGGTATAAAATTAACCATTATAGTTTTTTTTAGAAAAATCTTATAGATTGAATAGAAAACTCAATATTCACCCAAATATAAAGTGCTCATCAAATTTTTTTTATTACTTTTGTAATTTTGTGGTCAGTAGTTAAATAAAGCAACTGTAGCATTTTTTTTTACTCAGAAGGACAGTTTGACCCATTTAATTCTTTCCATTTTAATTACTAATTCTAAAATAATTTATCAAATGCGCACAAAAATAATAAGTAAATGTTTTTACACTCCAACATTTATATAAAGTGAATGATGGTAGAAGCTAAGCAATGGCATTATTAGTTAGTCTTACATATGCAAATGACGTGTAAATGTGAATATATATATACATATATATATATACATATATATATATATGTATTTAGAGATATTTTTTTGTTGGACCAAAACTTGGAAACTTTTGGATTTTCATCATTATTTTCCATAGCTCGAGGTAATTTTTTTCCATAGTTGTTTGAGAAAATTTAGAAGAACATTCATGACTTTGGAAATTGTTCTTTTATTGGGCTTTATAAAAATATATATTAATCTATTACTATTATATTATATTTGATTCGATTTGAATTTTAATCGATTTTAATTTTTATTAATTAATAATTATATTTTCTTAAAAAATTTGATTATTAAAGTTTTAAAAATTCGTTTCGATACAATTCGATTGTAGAAAATCGGTTTTAAAAAAAAATAATATTTAATTTTGAACGATTCAATTCGAAAACGGTATCGATTTTTTCGGTTTAATACATTTCGATTCTAAATAACCGTACTAAAACGCTCAACCCTAACTAGGGTGACTTATATTAAGCCATAGTTAGGAAAAACAATAAATAATTCACTGACTTGAATCATGTGTCAAATGTGTATATAGATTTTAATTAATGACATATGGATTATGGACCGTCATTAGGCAAAAAGCGAGGATATAACCACCATAGGATAATAACATATATGAAGATAATCACTGATTCTTATTGATGTTAATAAATAATAAGGCTTTCATTTTCATTGAAAATTCACAATTTTTTTTTGTAAAACCCATAAAAATTTCTAAACTTTTACAATGGGAAATAAGTTTCTACATTTTTTGTGATTTTCAAACTAACAAAATGTAACATTATAATTTTCAAATTTGTTAATTGGTATTAGAAAAAATCTTGACATATTGATTAAAAAATAAGTTTAGAAATTATAATAATATATTTTACAAATTTGAAAATTATAATGCTATATTTTACAATTTTGAGAATAAATTTGTTAAACGAAAAGTTTAGAAATTTATTTTTCAATATTTGACAAATTCAAGAATTTTGATTGATTTTACCTTTTTTTTCTGATTTTTTATAGAATCTCAACATCTAATTTTCCAAAACTTTAGTGAGTATTGTAAATATTATAAATAGTGGGCTTTTTATTACATAGCATGGAAACACGATCATGAAATGGGCTGGGCCTACTGTAATATACAATGGGCCATGAAAGACGATTGTGTTCCGTCTCGTCTCCCAATTTTTTTAATTAAAAAAATATATCTATTCATTTATCATATTAAATTTCATCCGGTCTATATCTAACTTTTATTTATGAAATGTTTATTTTAAAATAATACAATATATATATATATATATATAGATATTAAATTTATGATTATTTTATTTCGTAACAATTATATCTACTGAATTTTCATATCGATTTAATTTTAATTTTTTTTACCATTATATATGATTCAATTCAAACTGTTTTAATTTTATTTATGTGAATCAAAATAATAAACCGAAATTATCATTTCGAAACCCTAATCATAATTTTGTGTTTATAATTTTGTATTGCAAACATATGTATATATATTTGTAATGGGCTCTCATAAAATGATAATCCCAAACCGACGTACCAAAATATTACATTTTTTCTCCACCGACTTACCAAAAGGTTATATTAATAAAGTTATATGAAATTAAAGGAAGAGCCTTTTTTAATTACTTATTTCTCTCCGATAATATTTCCGTGCACAGGACGCAAAGAGCTCCATTGATTCTCCTCGGCAGGGCCTAGAACATAAAACCCTAACCCTAGAAATCTTCGATTTTTTTTCTCAGGTGAGATCCGATCCCATCTTTTCCTCTTCTCTCCCATCATGATCGAGAAATTTCCTCCTGGTTTCAGCACGTTTGTTTTTTTTGGGAAATCGCCTTCGTCTTTTCGGGCTCTCTGGAAGGAAATCCATCGGGTTTGGGTTAAATCTTCTGGGTTTTCTCTCCTCAATGGATTAATCGAGTAAACTCAATTGATTTGTCGAACTGTTGGAATCTGATTTCATGTGTATAGCCACTATTAGTGCAACTCTTCTGTTCATTTCCCATTCTCTTTTGTGTTTTGTGACCTGATTTTTTACGTCTGCTTGTTTGTCGGCTTCCTCCGCAGATATGCCGGTGTCGTGCCCGTTGTGTGTCGGTGCTTCACCGGCGACGGCGTTCCTCCCTCCTCGCCGGAACCATTTTCTGAAAGTTGGTATGCGTATTTTTTGTTCTTAAATCTGTAAATTTAGTTCAAAGTGGGGCTCTTCTGCTAAGATTTTGTCGACTGCTTGGTGAAATTTCTGTGATTGCCATCGTCACGTTTGGTTTTTTTAGTTCGGACTGATGATGTTTGGGAATGGTGGATGATATAGCGATTTGAAAGGCATCTTTAGCACAGACAGATTGGATTTAGATACCAAGGAATGAGATTCGGTTATCGGTTTTCAGAGAATTGGATTTTCCGTTCTGTTCTTAAATCTGTAACTTAGTACAATGTGGCTGCTTGGTGAAATTTCTGTGTTTTAGTGATTGTGTTTGTGGAATCGGTTAAAATGGTTCAGATCCATGACATTTGTAAATGGTGGAGGATATAAAGATTCTTTCGGTCTGAAACCCGTCGTTAGCTCAGTTTGGATTTGATCAATGACAGGAATGAGATTTAGAGGTTATTGTATTTCTGACAATTGGATTAAATCATCATCTCTTCCGTTTCTTTGAAAATAAGTTATCTTTCTAAGATGCATTGCCTGGATTGGTCTGTTAGTTGCGATATACAATCCTACTGTAAATGTGCTGAAGAACAAAGTTTGAGACTTTATGTATGTCAAATGAAGTCTACTTTCTAATGCACGTTGTACGTATTTGTGACAGGAAATTCTCGCGAATGCGTTCCTGCAAGAGTTTCCAGCCGATCTCTACAATCAGGCAAGAAGTTATGTACTTTGGTGGCTGTAGGAGCAAGCTTACCACAGCCTGTTGCTATCACCCATAGTTCTAAGAACAGGAAATCGGTCTTTACATGTAATGCTGCTTTGGTAAGTTTAAAGATCCTTTAACGAACCACAAACTAATCCTCGTTCTAGTTTCCTCTGCACATAAAACGTGCATTAGAGATATGTATCATCAACTATGATTTTCCTCAATTCATTAGTGTGTGTTCCTTTAAGATCTTTAGCTCCAATGGTGTAACTGTATCATCAATGTTGATGTCTATGTTCTCTTGCAAGATATTATTAGTTCGCGCAAAGTCTTTAAGGTCCTGATTTCTTTGCTGCAGAATGCGAGATGCAGCCAAGGCCAGACACAGACTGTTACGCGTAAAGCACCGACAATCACTCAAGCTCCTGTTCATGGTAATTCATCTCCTGTTTTGCAATGCATCCATTGATGATTAACCAAATTTGCAATCCTGAGAAGTAAAAAAATCTGATGCCATTCTAACTTTCAGGAGAGGAGAAATCCCTGAGCCTTGATGACGGAGGAAACGGGTTTCCACCTCGGGATGATGGCGGTGGAGGAGGCGGCGGTGGGGGTGGTGGAATGCCCTCTTCAGGTGGTTTCTTTCTTTTCGGTTTCCTTTTGTTTATGTCTTTCTTGAAAGATTTAGAGGGCGAGAACGATGGTTAGGGTTTAGCCTCCATAGATGCAGAGTCTGGATGATCTTCTGAAGTGGTAAATTTTCGAAAGGCAGATTTGACTGACTATACATACATGATACATGTACTTCACCAACTAAAAAACCTCTACAATTACTAGTTTTAAAGAGGATGAACATGATTTTTTTGTCTGTTCTCCCATTTTTCTGGTTTTGTTGATCTTTTGTGACTGTTCTACATGATCTTTTGTTCAAAGATCAACTTTGAAACCCGAACTCGGGTTTCGAGTAACCGATTCAATCCATGAGTCTAGTATCTAAAAATCAGGTATTTATCCACCGACTGGATGAATATGAATCCTCGCCTCGTCCCCTATCTTCTCTTTGACTCTGTTTGACCTCACATATGTCGGCCGGTGAGGTAATCCGTGGATAAATGTTTGGATATTCCGCAAATACCCGAAGTTTCGGGCACACAAGTAATACAGTTACAACGATGGTTCTGCATCTTGGAACTCAAGAGTTTACTTACATATAACAACAACAACAACATGGTCTCATTCCCAAGTTCATTTGGGGTCGGCCGAAGAGTTTACTTACATATGCTCAAAACAATGGGTATCTGTCCTATGCACATTTCTAGTATGGCTAATGAACTAAAATCCGAACTTTGAAGTTCAGACATGAAGCTTGAAGCATATAGGTTACTGCAAAAAACTGTGAATTAGGACACCACCTTTGTAAGAGAGTTCAGAGTCATATAACGTAACAAGCTTTACAATACCCAGACTTTGATGAATAAGGAGAGCCAAAAGACTCCGTAACATAAAATGCTAAAACAAATTTGGTAAGACAATGATAATGTTAGACCAAGAAGAAGAAGAAGAGCTAGAACTCGAACCCGGTACAAAGGGAAGAAGATGATGAAGAAAAAGAATAATAAATCGTACCCGAAACAGCGAAAACCCGCAACGAAGCTAACCACCATCAGGAGGTTTACTCGTTAGAGACGAATTGAATATAGGCAATGATGCTTCGGAAAACGTACACTACTCCACAGCTTGCTCGGTTTCTGTCGCGGGTGATTTTTCCGCAACCTTTCTCGCTTGCTCGTTTTCCGCCTTCTCATGTGATTCTGCCGGTTTCGAGGTATTCGAAGCAGAATCTCGACCACTTGCTTCTGGTGAATTGTTGTCCTCATTCTTACAAGCATCATCATGATCATGTTCCTCCTCTATGTCCATCTGGACCTCACCGTTCGGTTTGGAGGGCCCGGCGGAACCCGAGGTTTCTCTCCATTCAACCCAAGCAGGTGATTTTTCAGATTCAGATGGTTCGCCCGAGTTCTCAGATGCATCGTCTGCTGCTCCGACATCTCCTGCCTTCGTTTCGACCGATCTGTTGGAGGAAATTGCGGTGTCTTCCATGTCATCATCCGCTTCACCTATGACCACATCACCATCACCATCACCATCACCATCACCATCAGTGACCCATTCAGCGTTGGGGGAAGGAGTAGATGCGGGCGAGCTCATTGAGCGCTCATTAGCCTCTCTCTCGTCCTCGAAAGCAAACCAGTTTGAGTTTGTGAACAAAGATCCGCTGTAAAACAACGCGTAAGCAACTGTGACAATGGTGGTATGAACAATAAAAAGAAAAAAAAAAGATTCTATAGAGGGACAATGTAAAACTTTTTTTAAGCCGAATGTCAAATAGAACAAACCTCTCTTGGTCATCTCCAAGGCGCAAAGACGATATGACGACTTCAGCAGATTCATCATCAAAGTAGACGTCCTGCCACATAAACTCCATTAAGAAACTATCCACAACTCAAGAAGGTATTGTATTAAAAAAAAAAGCACAAGAAGACGGTAAATTTTAGGAAGATTGTCATTAATCTGATGCCTAGAAAGTTAACTTCAAGCAGGGAAAGTTACATAAAAGATCCCTCTCCGTGAGATGAAGTCTTCCAGATTTGTTCACGAGTTCATAAAATCACTTCCTAACGCAAAGCTCTGGCATTTTCCATTTTCCTTTTACAATCAAAACAAGAAGCAGAGCTGACAACAGAAGCATAGCGAAAGAATTGCATTGGGCGAAGGGTTGAGTTCAAAAATCCATGTCGATGCAAGAATCACTCAGAAATTATGAAAAAGGTGAAGGGCTGTGATCTGTTCCTATACTCCGCCATGTAAAATCTTCTGACAGGAGAAAACAATAGAGATATCCCGAAATTCATATTTCGTAACCAACCATTGTAAAGTCAGGTCCCAATCCCAATAAAAAATGAGAAAAGGAAAGCTAGAAATACCTCGTCATCGCATTCCATAGAGCCTTGGGCCTGCGAATGCATAGATTATAAATGAGATGAAGGAAGTAGTCTCAACTGAATTCAATGTTTGGAGGGAAAATAAAGTTCTGTTATACTACACAATTCAAGCATCAGCAAAAGACTAAAGGTGATCGCATCTAGCTGTCATATTTATGAGACTACGCAAATCGATTCCCAAACAGATCCGATTTTTGATCTCCTCATTGTCTCTATAACTGTACACCGAGGCACAACATAACTATCAAACACGTGCTCTTCAAATATTTGGTGAGAACCAATCACGATTCACTTCTAATAGCAATGTCAAGGAAACACAAGAATGCACCTCATCAATGTCATCATTGCTATAAATTCCATATCGAAAGGCCTGGCTCAAGTTATTTGCTAGGGCGGCCACATCATAGTCTCTATCTTGGTAATCATCATCATCACTATCTCTAGTTCGATCATGCAGTGAAGTTGGCCTCCTGCAAAGAGGATAATCAATTGAGTATATACTTTTTAAAGAAACCACGGTTGCTCCCTTTCAGATAATATATATCATTTTAGAGGAGTTCCCGTAAAGAAAGCAACCCTTCTTCAAGTCATCTACTCTGAGATATATAGTCACGTTCAACTTCTCACCAGCTTGTGTGCTTCATAACCACATAATGAAAAAAGGGGAAAACACATACCCACAGGCCCAAGAGCACACATTTTCCAATGAGTTACGCTTTGAAAGGACATCTGTCTGCCAGTTCGTCCAATCACTATTTTCCTGGTAAGAAACAATAGCACATAACATATCGATAAAATAAAAGAGTCATGGACCAGAAGTTATGAGTTGGTTATCGATGGAAGGTGCCATACAACTGCTATACAGGTTGCAGACAAACATGCTATATGAAAAATAAAACCCATAAACGGAATGATGCCCAGCAGAAAACTAGCATAATATGCTATAAGTTGATCCAATGGAAAGAAAATAAGGCAATAAAAGGAATAGAACTGTTTCGCCCAAAAGAAAATCATGAACATTCAAACATAACAATGAGACTCAACTTTCTATTCTACAGGGAAAACAGTATTTTTAGAACATACTAAAATAATCAGGTCAAACAACGATAATCTGGAGAAAACCTGCAAATGTGACTGAATTTCAGTGTTGTTATTAGCCAGCTGAGAGAGTTTGTTGGAGATACGAGTCAAATGGCCAATACTTCCTACTCTGGGTGGCTTTCTGCCCTCGGCAGGGATTGTCGGCTGAAGTGGAAATGCCACAGGCAATCAAGTTATTACTAACTAGGGGATTTCATAAAACCGAAAACCGAGTAATGCATAACAGGTTTCACATATGGACATTAGCAGGTAGAAATGTTGACGGGAACCTTATCCAAATCAGCTGCCAATGTGGGAACTTTCTCTGCTTCTAGTATTTTTCCGACAAGATCACATTCACGAAGAAGATGATCACGAAGTTCAGTATTCTTGCTCTCCAAACACGATACAATTACATTCTCGATGTGGTGATGCAAAAAATTGTTGTAGGGGTACCTGAAACATAGTCATACCAAGCAATGAACACTAGTACAAATGCAAAATGATTGTTGTACAGAAGAATACCCAACTCACTCAAAGAACAAGTCCAAGATTATCTTCACAGCCCCAAGTCGAATCACATCCTTTTCAGCTGATTCACTACAGACTGTGAGTAAGACCGAGATGAACTCTACAATCTGGGAAAAGAAAAAGAATCAAATTTCATATTTATTTAAAAAAGGCATGTAAATTAGGGACACGAAAAAACAGTAAAACAACAGAAATATATTACACATCTACCAAAAAAATTACACAGTATATACAGAGAACATACCTTCAGACGGTGTTTTCCAAGAGGTGGTTGCAGTTTTCCAAATGTAGTTAATAAAACGCCCTCATCAGATGAAACATTCAAAAGCTTAAGTAATTCGCCTGCATATAAGTAACAATTTCACATAATTTTTGTAGTAGCGAAGAAGAAACTCATTGCAAATTACAAAGCAAACCATAAAGCACAAGAGAAAATAGTGCGTAGAAGACTAAATAAAAGTTGCATCGGCAATATGCCATAACTAGATCTTGCTACACAGATAAAAACCATAATGATAGCTTAGTAACTCAATGGAAGGCCTGCAAACTTTTTCACAGCAAGGGCTAAGGTCAGTTCTTCCTAAATCCTAATTGCAATAGCATTATCAGGCAGACGCTCATATGAAAACTGATCATGGTACCACCATAACCCGGCCGGAGAAAAAGTAACAGTCTTCCTTGCCACCCAACCATGTACCCCAAAATAAGGATAATAGCATTAATAGACTCCAGATGCATCAATGAAAGACACAACAAGGAGTTCAGAGATGGCTGTTAATTTAAGTTTCTTTAACCAAATAGTTTCCTCACCTAAGCTCCCTAACATTCCATCCACAGTCTCAGGATTGGTGACCACAGTTCCATGGGTTAGTTGACGACTGTACATATGATATGCTCCCAATGTAAACCGCTTAGGATCTAGCAATGATATGCACACAGACAATGAATTGACCAGAACAGACTTAGGTCGTGTAACTTCCAAAGCATGTTGAAACAACCTCCTGATGAAGCTGCAACAAGATGTGCCAAGCATCAATAACAATACAACAGAAAAATAGGAACCTCACAAATAATATATGAAAGAAAAATAGTTACCGGAAACCAAAAAAAATGGGTTACCTTGGACTTGAAATTTTTGCACCAAGGCCAGGGGGTGCAAATCGTGTTACTGTACATAGAATTTCCGCAGCATTGGCATGCACCTCAGGAGAATCCTACAACACATACAGAATAGATCCTAGATATCAGTAAATACATTGAATAATAGGATAATACAACATCAGGGAAGAAAAGTCGTAAGCCCACATTATTTTGAAAGTAAAGTAACATATTCTACTGAACAAAACTCACAGAGGATGAAAACTTGTCCACAATCATCTCTAAAACATCTGTATCTTCTATCCACTGCATCGCACTTGTGTAATTTGTATACAAGTGTTCATCAGTGCCGATCAGACGTTTTAAAACCTGAGGAATAAGCAATAGGTTAACATAACTGAGGAGCACTTAGTGGAATATCGAATGTTTCTTCAAAAAAAAATTAACAATAACTTCTTAAAAATTTAAAACTTCATTGTTTATAGAATATGCCAATCTGATCAATTCACAATCTATCCATAACAACATCACCACCACCACCACCAACAATAATGATGATTTGGTGGAAGGGGGAAACAGCTAATATCTGTCAACTGTACAAGGTGTCGGTTTGTTTGAAAGTAGATACTGGCGAATGTACACCTAGAGTAACCTAAAAACAATTGTGAACCAACCTCCATAATTGATGTAATACCAATCAGATCGACAAGCTGCTTGAGTATTTCTTGGTGCTCCTGGTAGCAAAAGGCAAAAGCAAAGTTAAATATCAAGGCAAGACCTGTAACACCCAAATCCCAGATGGCATAATGTGTTTAAAGCATCATTCAATGCCAGATAGAATTATGTAGTTACACCTCACACAACTGCATTAAGAAACTATACATACTCTTTCATTATATGTGAAGCCATGTGAATCTCCTGTTAAATATTTTTGTTCCTATAGCAATATCTAGATCCTTGAATAAGATGCTCCAAAAATACCCCATGATTCATAAGAATGCAGCTAACTAAAAACTCAATTCTGAAACAGAATGCTCCAATGACCCTCATCGTAATCTATACTCTCTTACAAAGATAAAGAAAACAACACTAATCCAACCCAAGCAAAGCTCTAATTTTCATAAGATTACGAGCTTAATTCAGGAAACAAAATTCGACTTACTTTAATGAATTGCATGAATGGAACAGTCTTCAACACCAGCAAACAAATGACGACCTAGCAGCAGAAGATTAAAAAAATTGAATACAACAAAAACTTTGCTGATCCGATGAAAATATGAGATGGACATCAATAAGATCTTTGATGCCCAAAACAATGCAAAATACCCGATACCTTGCTGAAGTATCCAGCAAGCAATGTGTTATGAGCTTGCTTAGGTTCCAAAAAGGAAAACAGTAGTTTCATCAACTGCAACACAATGAGCATAAGGGAAAGTTAGTAGCATAACTTTTTTCAATATTGGACAAGTAGAAACAGATGCAAAATATATGTTGTGCTAATTTCTACCTCCTCATCCTCCACTAGTTGTTTGAGTATCATTTCAATCTCACAAGTGAAGATTTCACAGGCAATGAAAGGAAACCTGCGGCAGAGTTAGAAGACATCGACTATAATGCAAGGATTAATCAGCAGCAAAGCAACAACATCTGCCTAAAAAGTCCTTACTTAAAGGTCCGATTCTTCTCTGCATCCTCAGGAGGCTCCTCTATTATGTACTTAATAAGCTGTTCCACCTGCGTCCTTTCTCTCAAGCTGCAACAACAGCCAATCAAGGAAGCATTCCAATTAACGGAAATACCACCTAGAGAGTGAACATAAAAAAACATCCAGCCTTTGTGCTCAATATCACATCAGGTTTCTCATGGTAAAAAGCAGGCCAAATGGGATACAAAAAATTGGCAAGACCTTCTGCTCTTTTCGTAACAGCTTTTATACATGTGAGGGACTAGAAATAACTTCCAGGTCATAAACCAAAGCTTTTAAATGAACATCCCAAGAGAGAAAGAGAGGAGACTTCAGCAGCTATATTGCAAAAACGTTTAGGAAAATATCCCAAAAAAAGTGAGAATAATCTACATGTAAACGCATTATGCACCCGAAGGCAATTGCTTTTTTGCCTCCACGCTTTACACAGGAATGATCAAATTCGTTTTCCTCTTCTAAAAACAGAGAGGGGGCAAGTAGTAACTGAAAAAATATGGTCACAGAAGCGTACAAATTTAAGAGGCGCCCATTCAGGGATTTGCACTCCTGGATAATTTCATCTTCATCAAGAAGTTCCTCCAGTGTGAAACCATCTTTGTCCAAAATTGTCTCCACCTGCCAAAAAACCAAACCATTAAAAACTTCAGAAAGTACAAAGACGAAATAAGATAACTTATGCTACAGTGATCGCATAGCAACCCGGAAATAACGTTGTACGATGATGAGAGCACATTAGGTTGTATTATATTTCCACAAAACCAGCCTTCAGATACAGCAGGAA